CCTCTCTTTAAATGACTACATGTATTGGTCGTACCGGGCGTAGCGTTAACCACCATATGTCCGTTATGAATAAGCTACACCCGGCCATGTAAATCTCTTTTTAGTAATTCCATATGATCGTTCCGCTTTATTATTGTAGACTTTGAATAGATCTTTACCCTCTCCCCCTAAAAAAAAATACAAGCAAACAACAACAACATATAGAAAACCAACAACAAACAAACAACACAAATACAAAAAGCAAATGTCAGTTAGAGAGACTAACAGAAATGAAAGATAAAAGTAGAATTTGACCATCTAGTACTTATACCAAATGCCGAATAATTGTCACACGTTTATATGAAAATGAGCAAAAAGTTACTGTAAGAATTTCATCAAAGTATCAAACTTGAATTTCCTAAATGCTTTGGCCATATCCTACTAAGCCATCTACATCTTATTATGTTAGGGACAGAACATTGATACAAATTGACAGAATCAAATTGTTATCCATCATCCTTTTCACTTGGAGCATTAAACGTAGTACCTTTCTTCTATTCTCTTTGAGGAGGGGGCTCGGTTGCTGAGTGGTTCAAGTTGTTCATCTATGGTATCACTAGCCTGTCAACACAGAGGCTGTGAGTTCGAACCCCGCACTTGGCAAGTGCGTTCGACTCCAATCTTAATTGACTAGGATTGTCAGTTTTCCTGACGAAGGTCAGTGGTTCTCTCCGGGCATTCTGGTTTCCTCAACCAATAAAAACTACCGCCACGATAAAGCCAATAGTGACGAAAGTGGCACTAAATACAATCAATCAATCAATCTATTACTAAATTGATTTTCTTAACTGAATTACAACTAGCAATTATACTATGAATTAATTCCTTTCTCTGTTGCCAGTCTTTTGTTCTTACTATATTTTTTTTTAAAATACGCTGTCGATTGAAACTTACATTCAAACGCACATACTTATGCGTCTGGTGTATCAAATTAAAAGTTTTTGATGGGGTTTTACAACCACGGAGTCGATTCCACTGCTGCATGCCCGGAGATTATCACATGCCCAGTAGTCAGCACTTTTGTGTTGACGTGAAATATCTTTGATATGGTCATTTTTTTTTATAAGACTACTGGTTATAAAATGTTTAGTTTTTCGAAACACCGAGGTTTTTTTAAATAAAGGCATAGGTTACCGGAACCTTATCCTACACAACTTTCTTAAAATGTCAATGTTTGATACTAAATTTTGATTTTGTCTAACAACTGTTTTGATTCGAGCGCCACTGATGACTCTTATGTAGAAAAAACGCGTGTGTATTTCACCATTTATTAGCCTGGTATCTGTGATGAGTTTTAATCAACATTTTACTTATTAACTTCTAACCTCTCAAAATAGAATGTCTCATAAAGGGATACAATTTTCGAGCGTTTTCTTAAATAATAATCATATTCCTCGACCGCTGCTATCATAAAAGTACTGAAAACTTATACTTTTCGACCGTTTTATCGACAATGAAAATCCGTGTAAATACATGAATCAAAATTGTTAAATTTGATGTATGCCTTTTTGTGCTTCTTTGTTACATTTGTTTGTTTTTATAGTGATTAAGATGATAACACAGTGTTGACTGCTGTACCCCTATTTTTGACATTTTTACCTATTGTGTCTGTTTGTTTTGTTCACGCATTGCTGTCAATATAATGGAATTTGATGCGACTGTCATACAAGTGAGAGGTTTAGTTAGCTATAAAACCAGGTTCAATCCACCATTTTCTACATAAGAAAATGCCTGTACCAAGTCAGGAATATGACAGTTGTTATCCATTCGTTTGATGTGTATGAGCTTTTGATTTTGCCATTTGATTAGGGACTTTCCTTTTTGGAATTTTCCTCGGAGTTCAGTATTTTTGTGATTTTACTTTTTGTGTTGTTGTCTCATTGAACATCTTTCATCTATATTCAATAAAAATTATGTCTTGTTTTTTTTCATTTTATTGTTTTGATTTTTTGTATTGCACATCTTTTTAGTGAAATACTTCTAGTGAACTTTTCATATATCTAAAACAAAACAAAAAATCATAATTGTATTTCTACTATAAACAACAAAGTAAAATTGAAAAGCAATATCAAATAAAAAGAATTTCTACAATTTTGACAGAAGAAATACAAAAAATCCCATAAGTCAAAAAATGATAAATGTATAATCTTTCCTAATATAAAACAAGCTCAAATACACAAAACATAGCAAAATTAAACTTTTTTTGTGTAAACTTTGTATTAATTCCTAAAATAAAATGACAAATATTGTTACAATGAGAAGAATATTTTTTTAAAATACCTTCAACAAAATCGTACCAACATTTGTTGCGGGTCAGTCCTTTAAACACTGGTTGATTTGCAACACCTTTGAATGATATCTTCAAAAGGGCCTGTATTCGAATAACACTTACAAATTTTGGTGTCTCTAAAGCGCTTTTCTTGATTTACTCTTCATCAGAAACACACAAACCCGAAAAATTGAAAACCAATGATGTATAAATAATTTATAACTTAAGGATTCTAAAACGATTAGACCTTTTGAAATTCTAATAAACATTTTCAAAGTTTAAATCAATTCGGTGGATGTGACATTTGTAGCTAATGCCGCTTCAACTAGTATGCTTAAGATCTAAAGCATAGAGCTAGTCCCAAAATTTGCACGCATATTGAGTCCATGCATTATTTATTGAATCTATAGAACTTTAATAATGCTCTTGTACGTTTCAGTTTCTTGTAAAGCTAGTGTGAAGGTTTAAGTCAGTTTGGTGGACTGAACTTCGAGATCAAGACATTTAAAGCAAAGAAGATGAAGATTAAAGTGTAAATGCGATATGCGGTGTGATCATTGTACAGGTATAAGCATAATGAAAACAGTTCCATCGAATTATTCAGTCACTGCCATGACTTATTTAAGTAATTGTCTGTATAATGTCCCTGTTAGTACTTAGTTTTCACAATTTGTGTAGCCAATAGAAATAAATTGATTACCGGTATAATACTTAACAACAAAATGATTTGCTGCGCATTTCTAATATTTAGTTTATCAATATTTTCGTAAAGGTTGTTACTGGACCAAATTGACGAACGATTGCTTCTCCGGATATATCTTCTTTTCCGTACATAATCATGATAATATAAAAATATATGTTTCTTTCTGTTTCTTCTTCCAACTTAATATCTTTATTCTTAGGTAATTAACATGAAATCTTCAGTTGGTCCAATTTATACACTCTTATAAAACTCAATATTTCCATGCTAAACTTTGAGTAAATATTAGATATACAGTACAAATATATGCTAAAGTAAAAAGTAAATATATAAAACAACCAACTCAATCGAACAGAATTATCCCGTCTCTGAACTTATCTGAAAAATAGGGCTATAATATCTATATATAAACTGACAACGCGCATGTCAAAAACGAAAAAACGACGAAATGCATAGTACACATGCGAATTTTATGTTGATAAATCTTCAGATAAAAAAATATTACAAACATACTACCGTAAGTTGAGAGTTTATAATGAACGCGGTAAACGATTTTGATTCTAAGACGAACGCCTGCCATAACGAATCTGACTTTGTACTTTGTAATTTCTTATATGCAAAAGCAACATCACGTATCTTTGGATATTCCAGGTATTGAAAAATGCTGTATCGCATCATTTAGATAATTTTTAGATAATCAAAAAACATCTTTTGTCAACACTTCATTTCATAGAAAATCATAAAATCATAAAATCACCAACAAAAAGGACGTATTTTCCGGATATTGTATGACTTAATTTCCGAACGCACAAAACGTGATTTTGGATCAGTCTGATGTATCTTATTGTTACTGTAAACCAAATTTCGCGGATACTTTATTTCGCGTTTAGCCCTTTCAAGCCCACTTCGCGGTTATCATTTTGCGATTTTCAAATTTACTTGATGTAGTTAAATCAAGAAAGATCCAAGTTTTATGTATTCTCGACGATTTTTTTCGCGTTTTTTTTTTGTTGCGAAAATAAATCGCTCGCGAAAATTTCTTTGTTTACAGTATTTTTACATAATTATTCATTTTTATGTTTACCGTCTGATCCACAATTCCATGTTATAGATATGGAGCAAGACGCCATATTGGATTTCTGATCTTAAACATTCAATTATTACAATATGACGAAAATTAAAACACCACATACTTCAAAAATCTAGATTAAATGAGATATTATTAAAATTTGGAACATACAAGAAAATAGATAACCTACAATGTAATATTTTTCATTCAAATAATGTCATAATTTACCATGTCAATGCGGCATATTCATATTTCGTCAAATTTTATTCTATAGATGTCATACATTTCGGAAATAAATACGAAAACCAATAGCATTACAGAATTTCAAAAGAGCACTTGACGACATCAATTGCAAAGGACAAGGTACGATAAGGCCTGTGTTTGGCCCCCCTATTTTCTCATTTTTCAAATTCTGTTTTGGAAAGCTACTTATTATGTTGAAATATTCCCTGAGGTTTGAAGTTTGTTTGGATAAACTTCAAAACCACTAATTTTAGCAACTAGGTGAGGTGAGGGGGTTAACTTTCTGTTATTATTCAAATATTGTAATTATTATTCACTTTGCAGGTGTTTTTTAGTTTAGAATTTTTAGTTTTTAAGTGCCTGCGGCAACGTGACCCAGGAATTTTTTTTATTCCAATGTCATGAGAACTGTTTTTGCTGTCTAAATCGCCATAATTTTCTCGGGGTCACGTAGGCGCACGCTATTAAATTTTAAGAAACAATGGCCAAAAATCGTAATTTTTCCTTCTTTTGGAATTGTTGATGCCCTTTTAACCCCCTAATATCACCCATTTTCTGAAAATAATGGTTTTGAAGTTCATCCAAACAAACTTTGAACCTAAGGGAATATTTTAACAGTACAAGTAGCTTTCCAAAACATAATTTGAAAAATAAGAAAATAGGGTGGCCAAAAACGGGCCTTATCGTACCTTGTCCTTTGGCAGTCGAACATAACTACATCCGCCTATACAGTGTTTTCACTTTATTTTGAAGAACAGGTTGATCATGGCGGTCTGCTAATTCTAAAGTGCTTAAAGTTTGATAAAAAAAAATTATAAAAATTACAGCGCGTTTGTTTTTCAATCAGAAAAAAACTAATTAATGAATAGGGCAAGTAATATTAAATTGGAGACGACCAAAGGTACAGAATATATGAATGAATTTACGGCAGCCGATGACCTAAATGTCGTTTGAATTGCAGATGGCGATGAAACTGTAATTTTATTTTTGTCATACGATGATTTGGATGTCTGATCCACTGCGCTCGTCGACGTAAACGGTACTGTTGTTTTATAGAAAGATGATTCGGTTGTCCTAACGACTGCACCAGTAGACGTAGCAGGTACTTTTGTTTCGCTAGCCGAGGATTTGTGTGTCATATCTAGTACACCTGTGGAAATATCAGGTACTGTTGTCGTATCGCTCGCTGATTTGGTTGTCGTTTCGACTTCTGTTGAAAAGACGGTATTTGTATTGGAAACGATTGAAGTTGATGAAAATTTTACTGAAGATGTTAATAAGTTGTTGGACTTTGATGTCACTGAAATGTCAGTTGACGCTTCCGAAGACGCAATCAAAGTTGTTGTCAAGATTTCATCCGATGTCACATAAATTATCACATAAACAACACCCGATAGTGATGGAATCCCGTCATCTCTGCACATTACTTGAAGCCTTATCTCGCCAACTTCTAACGGACTTTGTAATAAAGTAACAACTCCAGTATGGGAGTCTATAGCAAATGTCTCATTTTCAAAACCAGTTATTTCAAACGTGATTTCATTTTTATCGAGATCATAAGCGTGAACTGTAAGAATACGCATTTCTTTTTGAGTTTCCGTTGATAGTGTTATCGAGTAAGACGTTTTGTTGAATTTTGGAGGATACATGTTTTTTTGCCCAAATGTTAAAACATATTTCATTTCTATTTTTTCCGACACACTATTATTGCTTTTTATAAAGTCAAACAAATGAATAAGATTCGAGTCTAGTATATGAGTGGTAGTCCATATATTTTTATCAACTACTATATCGCGATTATCATCCGACTTGACAGAAAGTAAAGTTTGATGAGGCCTTGTGATATTATTTTTTACCCTTGCATAGAACCAATTAGATGTATTAGTGAGTACCTCCATATAAACTAGAGTATATGTTATCATATCGGAATTAACGAAAGTACTTGACGATAATCCTAGTGCAGTTGCACTCATAACGTCATATACATCAGATCCATTTGCACTGTTGTAGACCTTTTCTGGTATCCCTTTGTTATCAACAAAGTCATTTACCAAAAAATCGTCAAAGCCATCATCCTGATCGTCTCTGAAGAGTCTTACCAAATGAATAAGTTCATGATACCATACATTTTCAAAAAGTGAAAGTTGTGGATCTCCTAATGGATTTATATTCTCAAATGTTGCACTGAAGTTATAGAAGGTTCCTTTAAGTGTTGACGTCAACATCCATCTGGCTGTCTTGGTTTCGAAAGATTTTATATCCCCAAAGTCAACAATAAGAGACGGTGTAATTGGTTCGTTACCTAAAAAACCGCCAATTATTTTAAAAGTGATAAGCAATCCTTTTTCATTTTCTATAATTTGTGGTTGCGCCGATGATATTTTAAGAGCTCGTGCGATCCCGTAGCCAGAATTCCTTACCATAACTGCTAAAGTAAATGGGATAACTGGCTCTTCTTCCGTTGTCAAAGGATCATCCCCTCTAACATATTTTTCATGAAAATAATGTAGCACCAGGCTTGGGTTAGGCTTTACTGTGATTGTATCTGGTAGCAATAGAACAGAAAAGTTTGATCCCCCTACCCGATATGACAATCTACCACCAACGTTAAATAATACATCATCATTTGGTGCTGCTGTGGAGTACGGTATAATCAGCCATTCTGCTGATCCCGATAAATCAACTCCTAGTCGACCGTCACCGTCTACCCCTGTCAGTCCTAATAAATCTGGGTCCCCTGAAAAGAAGATGGCTTACATTAATTACGTACAATTCTTTCATAAAACGACTTTTTCTGTGTATACTACATATGTTGTAACGATAATATAGTAGATGAATATTTCCACTGATTTCTGCTTACAGATTCAAAACACACATACGAAGCGGTATTTCACCAAATGGAAAATTAAGACTAACGAAAAATCAAAAATTGAAGTAGCCTTATACCCTTAATCTAAGACATTAATAATACTTATAATTCTTATAAAAGGGTAATAACAGTAGCATCTTTGACATTGCAAGAAGTTTTTTATATAATGTGCATCATTTTTGGTTGGTTATATAAGTTTTTTCTTATGCTCCTTCACACCATTTTTAAGTCATGTCTATCTGTTTCATTTTCTATCGTTTCCATTTCATGCAACAATATCAATAGGAATTGACATGTTTCTATGAAAGGCAATTACTTCGTCCATAAAAGAAAACACAAGAAGTCACTTAATTACCTGCACAATAAAAAACTAATTACTGATGGGCTCTGATTTATAGGTGGCATGATTTTGAAATAAATGTATTCCTCCAAATTTGTTAAAATAACTAGAAAACACCAACGAAATCAGAAGAAATTGTTGTCTTCATGTTCACTTACGTTTGTTTTGTTTGTTATGAATTCAATTTTTATAGCTCACTCTTTGGTATGTGGTTCTCATTATTGACGGCTGTACAGTGATATAATGCTGTATATGTTTTGGACTGCTGTTGGTCTTTGGTCTTTTCTCTTGTTATACTGATTTTACTGCTGGATTTTATTTGCCTAAGTTTTTTTATCAATTTTTACTTACCAATAGAAAACAAATAATTAACAACTTCTCCTGATCCAGTGTTGTGCTTGATTTCAATTTGAACATGAATACTTTCAAGAGCTGTGTTTTCACCGTTTTCGATTTCAAAACGAGCATTAAAAGCATCTCTGGTTAGTACAAGATCCTGAACAATTCTCACACGGACCTTGGCACATACTGCACCGTCCTTTTTACTGCTCCCTTCTGCCTATAGACAAGTATTTAAATCAATATATTTTCGTGCGTGCGAAGCTATTTTATGGATGTACCTTCAATAGGAACGTTCGAACCAACAAATTAATGAAAGCCAGGGATGTATAAATGCGTTAAAATGTTAGAAGCTGTATGATAAAAAGAAAACAATTAACAATGGTGCATGGATGATAGACAAATCAAAATGGAAATTCGGTACTGAATCCTTTTTATTAGTTTCTACATATATTTTCGCTTTTTTTTTTAAATTATCATATAGTAATAGCATGTTTTTCCAAGTTGCGTTTTCTTGTCATACGCAAAAATGGTTACACCAGTTATCAACAAATCCAATTAATCACATACAGCTTAGTTTAAAAGATAGCATTCTAATAACATCAATGGTACCAATGGTTATGCATCAGATTCGCATTTTGACAATTAATGTCTTTTTGGTGATGCTCGAGGTCGAAATATTTGAAAATCCAGAACCTAATAAAACAATGGAAGAGCTGATCAAAACAAAAAGGACCTAAATTGTAAATTTAACCTATACATTACATCCGAAATAATGTATAACTATTACATGTATAACCTTAAGTGTTTTTCTATTTATTGATCCTATTTTTTTTTGTATACATGTACTTTAAAAACCGATATTGCTTTTCCTATGTATGATTTTCTTATTGAGCATGTTTAAGATTTCATTCCCATTCCATTATCAATCTTTTTCGTTTAATGATAATACTAATATGATTACGTTATCAGCATTTAAGGAGAAATTAATATGAGACAGGTTTTAACTAAGAAAGAGGACGAGGTCGGTAGAAATAATTATTTTAATACTTCAGACAAATGTACTAGGGTCATCAAATTTTGTTGTTATTATAATAGAGATTCTGACATAAAAAATAAAAAAAAACCACTTTAGAATAACAACAATCCATTACTTCTGAGATGCCCCTTCTCAGTGGCATCATGACCGAGGGCTGGACAATACATTCCTCTTTATTAAATCGGAAAACAATTCTGTTGAAAAAGTAGCTGAAATACGGAAACGTATTCGATGTTGGTTATGTTGTTCAGATTTTTATTTATGACGCATTGTTTTCAATATTAACAAAGATAAAGTTTTTCCATATTCAAGTATTATCATAATTACAAATATAAAAGAAGGACGAAAGATACCAGAGGGACAGTCAAACTCATAGATCGAAAACAAACTGACAACGCCATGGCCAAAAATAAAAAGACACACAGACAAATAATAGTACAGATGACACAACATAGAAAACTATACTATAAATGTATACCTTAAACGCCGATTTTGAGTTTATTAGTATATTTCTATTCTTTGTTTTATTGATTTTTTTACTGTTATTGAGGACTTCATCCTCACATTAGATCTTGGTTTCCCAACATCATATTCCAGATCAAAGGCATATGTCAGCGGGTATTTTGTTACATGCGAAGGCGTGAGGGAATTCAGATATATGAGCCAGCCAATATTGAATCTTAATAAGTACCTTTTGTTTTATCTCATTCATTCTTCACAAACAAACAAAAATTAAGGCGACATTAGTTTACCAATTTTCAAATCGCGTAAATCGATAAGAGACAAATCAAGATAACAAACAAAAGCCGCGGGAGTTACATAAACTCCAAAAGGAGCAAAACCGGGGTGCTCCGACCAAGTAATAGTATCCCCCAAGTAAGAGTATCCTGCTTTGCATGTATCACCCGTCATACAAATTTACACTTACTGTATTGCGATAAAATGTTTTAGAAGTTTCCAAGACAGTATAAAATAATATTATAAACACTATATATCTCTGTGTGACAAATAGCTTTATCTGCAGTTTGCTATAGGTTTCGTGTTGCTCAATCTTTTCTTTTTACTAATGTTTTCAGCACTATTGATTTCGATTTCGTTATTTGTTAATAGTATAGTGTGTCCATCTTTGTTATTTCTTATTTTTCTTTTGTATCGTCTTATTATTATTATAGTTTGTACAATAAAGTGAATTATAATTATACTCACTTGTGTTTCCTGTTCGGCCAAAACATATGCATTCAATGCATGATCAAAATCACTGAATATCGAATTGAATCCCCTGTCGGCAGCTGTTTTGGTGTCCGTGATGTACTGCTGCATCATCATACTAAGTCGAGACAGGTTTATAACGCTTCCAGTTTTGATTTCTTCGTTTAAAGTCCCATTGTCCCATGCTGAAACTATAAGCAGGAATTCATAAATTTTGTTTCAAAAACCGTTTTCGCTTTCAAACAATGTATTCCTACACTAGAGGAGCAACAGCTGTTTACCTTTCAGAATCACTGAAGTGCACCCCCGGATTTTGGTGTTTTTTCGTGTTGATCAATAGTTAGTTATCTGTGTGATGTTTTATGCATGGCGTTTGTCTATTTGCCGTTTTTTTCTTTTTGTCATGGTTGTGACTTTTTCAACTAAACGTTTGATTGCCTTCTATATATCTTCTCCTGTTTTTGTTTTACATTGTATCGAAGATATATACGTATAATGAATCTATTCAAAAACATCTTGATTATTATGATAGTATAAATAACAAGTACATTTAATTGTTCAAAGGTGTAAACAATCTGAAATCATGCAAAAAATCGTCATGAACACATTGATATTGTGGATTAACTATTGGGTTAATTGTGGTAAGAAAGTTAAATAAACAGGCTCTCTATAACATTATATCATGTATAAAACGCGATTGTAAATGTACACTTTCCTTTAAAGGGACATATGAATTTAAATCAATACAAAGAGGTGTGAAAAGGGAAAAATATCCACCTGTGACCAACGGAAGGGCGGATTGGAATAAATATCAAAAAGGTCTATGTATTTCAAAAGAGTGTTGCCGTATGAACCTGTAACAAATATCCTTTCTGTACCTGGTTGAATGATAAATCTATATTAGATTGGTAACCAATAAACAGCCAATCAATGTCTTTTTTGCAAAATATAACATGGAATCTGATATAGTTGATACATTTTCACGTGCAAAGGATTTGTAATGATAAAAGCTATAAATAAAATAAAAATCGGAAAGGAGTTTGTTTTCATTGAGCTTATCACTGTATAAGCATTGTGTAAGATGAATTCAAAGCAAACTTAAATTTTCAAAATATGTATCCCTTTTTTTACATCACTCGAAATATTTGGGACAATCAAATTGAATGACACGCTCGAAAAAAAGAAAGAAAAACACACGCGAATGTAACTTTAATAATTTGTATAACAATATATAAACGCAAGAAACCATATTTTATTTATTGATACTTTTATTTCAATTTCTTCATAGGTCTTAAGTTTTCAGAAAATGCCCAAACAAAAACTTTAATCAAAATAAAACATACCTGTATTGTTCCATCTTTCCAAAAATCTGTCCAAAATAGGGTTTGAGATATTACTTGTTAAAGTGTTTAACACAAATGACTTTTCATCTTCTGAAAGTATTGCACCACTTTCACTGTTATCAGAAATAACTGTTTTAAAAGAGGGATACCACTCTTTGTTTACATGGAACCTGAAATATATCCAAAAATCAATTTAGAAAAATATACTCTTAAAAAGTTCAAAAAAGTATATTAATATTAAAATAAGAATGTGCAGCATGGTTGTCTATTAGACAACAAACTGATAAAGACAATGGTGTACACAGCTATATGTCACTAAAGCGCCTTTCAACAATGAGAAAAGACCATACCGTACAGTAGCTATTAAAGGCTTCTCAGTGCTAAAGATACCAATGGCTTGCTTCATGATTAAAGCAATTAACATAAAAATATTTAAAGCAAGCAACAACCAACTACCATTAATATATAAACGGATAACTCTTCGGAACTGAGCACAAAAAGAACTAACAAATAGAAAAAAAACATATGGTACCAAATCAAAGTGTTATTGAAGTTTGTGAAAGCTAATTCAGATACAACTTTGAACTAATAGATAAACCAGGTTATCCATGACTTAAGTAATTGTAAGTACACTTTAAACCCATTGAATTTAAAGATGTCATTTTAGCAGCCTGAAATTACACGGGATTGTCATGCATAACAGAAAAGAAAGAAAAAGTGTTAATCATATTAATAACTGGAAATCAATGCATGTTTAGTTGTATATTTAGCTATAGAAAAGAAAATAAATATTAGTATCGATAAATACAATATTGTAAGTTCTTACATGATAAAGTTCATTCCTTGTGTCAATAAGTAAACATGGATTGAATCTTAATTTAAGGGGATTCAAACAGCATCACAATAAAAATTAGAATGTGATATTTCATTTATCATTAGATTTCTAACTAAGGTTCATTTTTTTCCCAGATTTTCAAAAAACTAAAAATAACTTACTTTGATGGTGCTCTTTTTATGAAATATTGAAAATGAAGGCATAGTAAATGGGCTAAATCACAGAATTGGTAAATATTTTCCATTCAAATTTGCTCGGTGATGTTGTTTAAAGAGCTAAAAAATTTAGACAAGATCCTTGTTAAATTATTGATCCTTTAAATAAACCTATTCTATAAGGCTATCTATATACGTTGTAACACTGAAATAAAATCTTTGAACGTTGATTTTATCAGTACTAACATTGATTTTGTTATCAATGAATTAAAACGTAGCTTAGTATTATTGTTATTCTGCTATGAATATTTACAGTCCTGCATTCTGTCGATACCTTTATTATAGCATTTACAAAGGTCATATTTATCTCTGACTGTTTGGACGTCTTTACAATAACATCTATTGGATGTGTACTGATTGATATTTTAGTCACATTTTGGTCTCAGGTAGAACGTTGTTTCATTGGCAATCATACTACATCCGCCTATTTTCTATAGAGTCACCGAATTGGTTTGCTGGGTATACATATTTGAAAGTAGATTTTGGTGAAAAACATCTTAAAACGTTAAAATGAAAATTACTTCGTAGAGTTGATGAGTAAAAAAATGTCGTTTTTCGACGTTATTCACTACGAATACAGTAACAGATCGGCTTATACATCAAAAACAAAGTCGGTGACCATATCATTATTATATATATATAACAGACATGTATGTGCCAACAACACACCAACTATTTAGTAAAAATCTGTGTTTTGGCTTTGGAGATTTGATGATTTTAAGACGATTTTAAGAACGATTTCCATCAATTTTAAACACTTTCTATACAAAAGTACATCTGTTTTAAGAGATTTCATGCAAAATTGTTTCCGAAAATAAAAGAAACAAATTCCTTTTTCGATTTTAAATCGCGTTTAAAATAGCGCAGTTGGATCCAAAATCTTCTTAAAATCAGTGACATGACCTGTGTACAGCTACAAAATCTTAAACGTAGAGCTTACATCTCTTCGTTTCCAAATATCTCCTCCACCATTGATCTGAAATTATTCATTGATTTAGATGTGACAATAACGTTGTTCACTACATCTGAACTCACATCACGTCTTTTTCTTTTGTTACCACATTCTTGTTCCAATGCTTGTACACATCTGATACAAAAATAACATAATCCATATTACAATTAAACACACATAAACACATAGTTTAATATGCATTCAAATACACAAAAAAAAATATAGACAAGGTGTTGATTTCTTCATTTTCGTTGATGACGTCAAACTTTATTATCCTGGAAGCATGATTCTATTGATTCGAAAAATTCTGTGTAAAAGCCCTTTGAAAAAAATATATGTTTGTGCACTTTAGTTTGTGGTTCACTTTTATTCACAAAATCCACATAATAAAAATTTCATGATAAGCAAATATTATTGTTACGTGAAATATAAAAATGTTAAACACATTTATGACTCCTGTCTATTTATTGTTGAACGGTGAATATTGTTGTTACGTGTATTAGTTAATAATTAAAGGTTCTAAGGTTATTGGTTACTAATGTTAATAATAAAATGAAATTTACCTTAAAGCCTTGTATACTTTACCACAAACACTACACAATGGTCCTACAACACAAGACATGGCTGTGTCTATAATGGCGTCAGGTAAATTTGGTCCCTACACTCCAAAGACGTAAATTAAAAAAAACATCGAAAATGTACAAGTTAACTGTAATAAAAAGGGAGGTCGCTGGAAGATATCATTATCGATAATCATGTGGTTCATTATGTAAAATACCACAAGGTCATTCTAACTGATGACCTGACTACAGTGTTCATAAAAACAGATTATTTTATGTGCTGACGGTATCACGTGATAAATCTAACTCAGTGCAAAGTTGATACAGAAAACCATTACTTTAAGTGTTGACAGTCCGACGAATGCAATCTAATAGAGTATCAGAACATTTTATTGCAAAGTTGATACAGTTACCCGTCATGTATGTGTTGAAAGTACGAGGAGTTAAATCTTACAGACTAACAGAACACCTAACTCATGTAACTGCAGAGTTGAAAATTAGACAATAATAACTCAATGTGTTGGCAGTACGTATATACGATCAGTCAAATCTTACAGACTAACAGAACAGGTAACTGCGAAGTTGAAACAGAAGACAATAATAATTTTATGTGTTTACAGAACGTATTTACGATCAGTCATATCTAACACACTAACAGAAAAATGTCAAGTTGAAACAGAAACCCGTCCTTTGTGCGTTGGCAGTACGACAAGTTGAATCCAGCAGACTTACAGAATACTTAACGCCAACGTTAGTACGAAAAATCAATACTTTATCTGTTCACGATATCACGAGTTAAATCTCACAGTACACTCAAAGGTAAAATTGGTAAGGAAAACCATCACTTTATGTGTTAACGGTAAAACGAGTTCAATCTTAGCCGAGGTATCAGTGTTTCAATTCTTCATCCCAGATCTCAAGCAACTCTTTGGACGAAAGACAGCAATAATATAATTATTGCCTGGTATTTCCAGAGATGATAATATTTTCAATTATAAATATCATATTGTAGTTATTGCTATTAATTCTAATCACTTGAGTTTTTTACTATGGCATGAAAAGATAGTTGAACATAATTTTCGTGATTCAAAAATATGTAAATGCTATTGAACTTGAACATTTACATGAAATATAAATTCATTTACATTATTAGCAGTCAGTACTCCTGTGTTGGCATTACATATCAATGACAAGATCATTTTGTGTAACTTCGATGATAATATTATATATTAAAAACAATCATTCAAAACACCTAGAGTTTGATACCCTAGGCATCGATGTTATCAGTAAGAATTTTTTATTGTACTCTACAACTTCCTTTTTGATTTGATCTTCCAATTGTTTCGATTCTATCGCAATAAAGGGACCTTTGTGAGATAAATTTGAGCCTCATCTTTCCTCTGTTTAATGTAAATTAAAAAATTATGGTAAACATTTATTATTGCAATTTTTTGACAAAAGTGCGAGATGAGTTATTGCAATTTCAGGAAAATCTGCATACAAACATATGTTTCAAGTATCGGAATACGAGTCAAAACAATTGTATATAGTACCTCCGAATATGAAATCAAGCGTTTTTGGAAATTATATTCCGACTATAGAATGAATAAACTCATCCTTGATACACGGATTAAAGTATTATACACCAGACGCGCGTTTTGTCAACAAAAGACTCATCAGTGACGCTCGAATCAAAAAAGTTTAAAAAAAGGCCAAATAAAGTACGAAGTTAAAGAGCATTGAGGACCAAAATTTCCGAAAGATTTAGCCAAATACATCTTATCTATTCCTGGGATGGAAAATCCTTAGTATTTTGAAATATTCAAGGTTTTGAAATCAGTTAAAACATAAATTTTTGTGTTTTTAGTCATTATAAGTCAATTAACCATATAAACGGTAAGCTAATTGATTTTCGAAGAAAGTGTTTTTACAATATGTTAAAAAAAAAAGGGGCATAAGCATTGAATGAAATATCAAAAGTAAAAATGCAAAGAAAAGAAAATTCAAGTAATCCTTACCGATGAGGTTAATAATTTATCAGCTGATACAGCACAGCCTATTACTGGGAAAAATTCCTGAAGCGCACAACTCGCAATCGTCGAAGCTGCTAAATTTCCTTCTGATGCCAGACAGCCTACTATTGGAATATAAACTAAAATACACTTCTTCAAGAGAGCAGCATGGCAATCACATGGAACTGGAGTGACAGGACGGTAAACAATCATCACACCGGACCCGCTTGCTGATCTACCACCTACAACTTATAGCAAGAAGACACATTGTTTTAGTAAAAATGTAAGTTCAGAAATTATTGCGAGGTATTTATCATTGTAAATAATGCGACTGGGTGAGTATCGCAATAATAAGAACTCGAATTCTGAAATCTGACACATATATATGTAGGCAGCTTTTCCTGTAATCACAATAATGCTTCTGACATTTTGGTCTGTTGAATTTTCTGAAGTTCAACTCTTTTTGCTAGATGTTGTTTTCTCTTTTCCTTAATCGTTCAAAGTTTGATATATAACATATAACATTAATTTTGCGAATCAAATGCAACAGTTCCGATTTACAAATCCAATATATCTATTAGCAATATGTAGATCGAGGAACAAAAAACGAAAATCGAGGGGATCGCATCGACTCCGAAAGGAGCGAGATCAGGGGGGGGGGGGGGGGGTGTAGAAATATTAAGCGACTCCTCCAGATGTGTATGTATTACCCACCATGCCAATGCATATTCAGCCTACTCTTTTAACTTAGGAATAGGACACAATCAGTACATTACATATCAGAAGATCATTCTTTATTATATCTCAAAACGTCAAGTCATTTGATTCTTTATTATATCTCAAAACGTCAAGTCACTTCATTCTTTATTATATCTCAAAACGTCAAGTCACTTGATTCTTTATTATATCTCAAAACGTCAAGTCACTTGATTCTTTATTATATCTCAAAACGTCTAGTCTCTTGATTCTTTATTATATCTCAAAACGTCAAGTCACTTGATTCTTTATTATATCTCAAAACGTCAAATCACTTGATTCTTTATTATATCTCAAAACGTCAAGTCACTTGATTCTTTATTATATCTCAAAACGTCAAGTCACTTGATTCTTTATTATATTTCAAAATGTCAAGTCACTTGATTCTTTTTTATATCTCAAAACGTCAAGTCACTTGAAATAAATAAAGTAATAAATAAATACACATTATATATTGAAAATATAAACATGATCACTAAAGGGGCCTCTTTAACCAATAAATACGAAATTTCACATAACTGAAAATGCTCAAAGAAGCTCTTACATCTTAGATATCCGCCTCCACAACTTCCGGTAAGAATAACACTGGCGCTATTAGAACGTGTTCCACCACAAACATAGTCATACATTAATAACATACTACAGCCGCCTTGTCTTTTGGTCCTTGATTTAAGAGTTATCTTGACCGGTATAATAATAGATGTGTTGGCTGCAAGATCCCCGATTACATCGACAGTCTGAAATAATTTCGTATGTTCAATTTAATACATTAGAGTTCTGTAAAATGTATAAAGTAATTGAAAAAAATCAAAAAGAAGAGAGAAAATACCAGTGGGGGAAACACAAAAATGTCAAAAACAACATGGCTGATATAAAAAACGATGAAACTGATTTAGTGAGATCCACCCGAGTGTTTTGTCGTTAATGTTTCAGTGACACAAGCTATAGTCCCGTAGAATGCTTTCAAAGACCGCTGGAAAAACCACTTAGTGTGCTAGCTAAACACATTTAATTCTACCACTGCTGGGTCAATCAAAAGATATTTTTACATATTTGCATGATTGATTGATTATTGTTTGAATGAATGAGAATTGGAGAAATAACAAGACGCACAAGATAACGAGGATATGTTCGAGAGAGTTTTGTTTGCATGATAGGTCATCTTCAGGTTATTTAAAGGGTTTTTGAGAGGTTTCTTTCCATGCAGATGGCATAGCGTAGTTGTTTGCTAAAATAAGGTGTCCATCTGAAACACACGTGAATATTAACATCTCGCACAGCCAAATGGACGAACCTTTGGAATTTCTTATGGGTGAAAGGATATTTTCAGATCATCATAAGAAATTAAAACTTATGGTCAAAAATAAATAGGAAAGATGATTGTATTAAAGCAACAACAAAAAGGCATATGCAGTTTCTTCATTTCTATATTTCAGAGATTGTTTTTTTTTCCAAGAAAATCAAATAAGAGTCGGTTCTTAATCAGTTCACCCTTATATTGCTATTGTTGTCTTTGTCATTAATTAAGGAAACTGGTTAGATTTTTTTAAATTTGAAGACAAGTCTGATCGATTTTATATTTTTAAAACGTAAAAAGGATTAAAGCAATTTCACTTTGTATTGCACTTTGATATTATAAGTGTACGTCAAATCTGCGATAAACCATAACAAAAGTTATGCTCCGAATTTTCTGACAAATCTAAATTCAAATTAAGAAATTTTATTATTTTATTACTAATGAGAAAAATTACATTGCTGCTTTCCGCCAATAAATTCAAGATCGCAAGACTTTCAATTTATCAAGTAATACTTATCTCATGGTCAAAATATATAAGCCTTTTAGAAGTCAGCACTAATTATAAAAAGAAGATGTGGTATGATTGCCAATGAGACAACTTTCCACAGTAGACCAAATGACACAGAAATTAATAACTATAGGTCACCGTACGGCCTTCAACAATGAGCAAAGCCCAGCATAGTCAGCTTTAAAAGGCCCCGAAATGACAAATGTAAAACAATTCAAACGAGAAAACTAACGGCCTAATTTATGTACAAAATAATGAACGAAAAACAAATATGTAACACAGCAACAAACGACAACCACTGAATTACTAATACATTTATATTTTTTTTACATATTTACTTTTTATTAATTATAAAGGGGATTCTGCCAGTTGTTTTCGAAGTGTTATTTATGACTTCCATTTCATGTGAAGATGGCGACCATTTCTTTTTCGTTGACTCTAAAACGATGATCTCAGGTAACAATTAAGTAAAATAACGATATAACTAAATTTTATGAAATTTTAACCAACAACCAGAATATCTGGATGAGCTTATATAAAAAAAATGATAAAGGTAACTTTTATAAAAATAAGGAGATTTGGTATGATTGCCAATGAGACAACTATCCACTAGAGTTCAAAAGAAGTAGATGTTAGCAATTATAGCCCACCATTATCAGATGCCCTCAGAGTCAATAATGTAAAAAAAAATATACCGTGTATTCGGCTATACAAGAATCCTACATGAATGAGAACAGCCCATACCGTTATTCGTTATGAGATATATAGCAGTTTTATAATAAGAATTTTTCAATTGCCCTTTCTTGAGATTTAGTCCTACTGATTTTTTTCAAATAGTGATTATTCATTATCCCTGAAATTTCCACTTTTATTTATTGATATTCAATTTAAAAAGGGTCACTGAGGAGACCTTAAACGTTTTAGATTTGTGTTTGAAATTTCTTGTCTTGTTGTCACTCCTCATACTGTTGACTTCCAAAATGTTTGACTCTGAGGGCATCTGATAATGGTTAAAATAAAAGTGTTCCGAATGGTGCTTTGTCAGTTTGTTTCATTTTCATTTATAATATTTGTTCGGAATTTTCTTGGTGTAATATTAGTTAATCATGTATCATGCTGTAAACTCGGTACGTTTCTTTTTAATTCTACACTACTGGTTCGACTGGAATGAAAAAATAGGGAGAAGATGCCAAGGTTGCAATAAAAACAGATAAGAACATTGCAAAAAAAAAACAACCAATTCAAAACACACTTCACAGAAAAATAAAGATTGAGCAAGATCAATCCCCTCATAAATCGGGGATACACTTATTGGCTCCGGAAGGATAAGCACTTCATGTGCAATCAGTGACACCCGTCATGTTGAAAATGACAAGACAAATAGTTGGCAGTATTTATTATAGTAATTATATTTACCGATTGAAATTGAAGTGTAGGATGTCCTGTAGGTAGGGAAAACCGAAGGTTATCAGCCCGGATGAGACCATGATTAGTTATCGTAAAGTCAACATAATCTCGTTCTTCTGTCTCGAAAGGCACTGTGTCTAATTTCTTTGGTTCAATTGTTACCACAGGCATTGGTACCTTGCAAACAAAACAAAACACACAAAAAATCAATAAATTTGATGGTAAGTAATACAAATCGTCCAAAGACATTTAAGGATGAAAATATTGAATTGATTTATTCTTGTCAATGTAAACGATATTTCAAATACAACGTGCTACTTTCTCTTTGTAAACAACAGCGTGATAAAATTCTTGATATATCTATATTAAGCGCTGACTGACAGATGTATATATGTATGGCTATTTAGGACGTAAACTATGTATCAACACTATGTCGATAAAGCTGTGTTAAAATTGAAATTGAAATATAGCTATTGAACTTTCATTTCTATTCTAATGCATAACTAAAAGAATTGATGGATTAGAGCTTGGAAAAATGTATAAAAGTAAAATCCAATAAAATACTGCGAAATTTCATGAATGATCTTGGCGGATTGGATGAAAATTTTCAAGCTATGCTTCAAGGTCGGACATTTATTGAAATGGATTTTTGAAGTAGGTGTTGTTTCATTGTCGATGCTAATGCATTAATCACATACTTACGCTCGAGATAAAATTCGAATATAATGGCCAAGGCCATGTGAAAGTTTCAAGCAAATCTATGGATTGCATAAATTATTTCTTAATCATTAATTGAGTAAGTTTATGCATACGATAAACGAACATTTACAACATTGATAGTTTAAATTTATCTCAAAAGAGTTCAAAATTGAACACATAAAATTGAGAATGGAAATGGGGAACGTGTCAAAGAGAAAACAACCCGACCAAAGAGCAGAAAACAGCCGAAGGCCACCAATGGGTCTTCAACACAGCAAGAAAATCCCGCACCCGGAGGCGGACTTCAGCTGGCCCCTCAACAAAAATGTGTACTAGTTCAATGAAATTAGACGTCACATTAAACTCCAAAACATACAAATGAACTAAAATTAAAAAATATACAAGACTAACAAAGGCCAGAGGCTCCTGACATGGGACAGGCGCAAAAATGCGGCGGAGTTAAACATGTTTTGTGAGATCTCAACCCTCCCCCTATACCTCTAGCCAACGTAGAATAAACAAACACACAGCAATACGCACAGTAAATTTCAGTTCAAAAGAAGTCTGAGTCCGATGTCAGAATAGGTAACAAAAGAAACTAAGCAAAATGACAATGATACATAAATTAACAAAGGACTACTAGCAGCTACTGACATGCCAGCTCCAGACCTAAATTAAACTGATTGAAAGATTATGTCTTCATCATATGAAAATCAAGCATAATCCCTCCCGTTAGGGGTTTAGTACCATATCATCATAAAATATATGAGAAGAACATAACCTGTATCATGCCAACAACTGGTTTTAGAATAAATGTGTTTATTTCCGATGCAAAGACCCTATGAGTAAATCAATATTTATACCAAAATATGCCATCTTTAATGACCTGACAACAGTATCGTAACTATATCCCTTCTGAATAAGTCTGTTTAAAGGTTTGGTCAGCTTTTGAGGTGAATGTCGACATTTTGGGCTTTGTATAGAATATTATCATAAAGGATTGGATGTGAAATACCTGAACGTATAAGTTGTCTGCATGTTGATTTATATTTACGAATGATGTCCTTGTACCGATGATAACATTTAGTAGATGTTTTGACTAGTTTGTGATATCGAAAACCCTGGTGTAATAATTTTTCAGTAATGCAGAGGTTTCTTTCGTTAAAATCAAATACGTTGTTACATACACGAGCGAATCGAACAAGTTGAGATATATAAACACCATAAGATGGTGACAAGGGAACGTCACCATCTAAAAATTAACAATTAACAATAGGAAATGAAAAATCATCTCTTTTATCATAAATTTTGGTATTAAGCTTCCCGTTAAAGATGTAGATGTCAAGATCCAGGACAGGGCAGTGTTCATTGTTAGTATTAGCTTTAAAGTCAGTTCAGCAGGATAAACCTCTTTAGTATACATACTGAAGTCGTCATTATTGAGAGCCAATATATCATCCAAATATCTAAAAGTGTTATTAAATTTTTGTATCAGATGTTGTTTCGATGGGTCTTTGCTGATTTTAGTCATAAATTGTAACTCATAACAATACAGAAACAGGTCCGCAATAAGTGGTGCACAGTTAGTCCCCTTTGGAATTCCGATAATTTGACGATATACGGAATCTCCATAGCGAACAAAAACGTTATCTAGTAAAAATTCAAGGGCAGTAATCGTATCAAAGCAGGTCCAATTGAAATACTTCTTTTGTCTGTTGTTACTAAACATATTATGTTGGTACAAAAATTCATAAATCATAAATATGGTATATAAAGTACTTCTGGGTATCAAGGAAAATGCAATATTCAAAAAAATGATACCATTTACTGTTATACTTACTGAATTAAAAAAAAAACTTTCGAATTATGATTTATAGATTAAAAGTTTATTAAACACCTTTCTCCATCGAAACTGTTTTTTCATTTTATATTATTATTTTTGTCTTAACAAGTTAAACATGAATTAATATAGAATTTACAGGATGCAAAAGACTAGTCATAACTTTATCTCTTTATACGTTAAATTGATCATGAAAAGTATTATTCAGATAAAAAAATCGGATCCATTGAATGACAACATTACCAGATTAAAGAATAAATACTATAATATTCCTAAAAAAATGCAGATGATCACAATAAACTAGTTATGATTGTAAAGGGATGCTGTTACGAAGTCTCCCAAACAAAGTCCCCAGAAATATTTTACCTATTTCATTCAATTCATCTTTAAATGTCAAAAGAGAAAATATGTGGATTAGGGGTGGGGATATCAACATGTGAAACATTTCCTTTCGTCATATTTTCAATAAATATTATGGTATGTGTGTGGTTTTAAAAACAACGTTCAAGTTCAAAGGGCAGACATCATAGGTGTCTATTAAACTTAGCCTTCGGAAGTTCAAATGATCCAAAAATCATTCTTAAAAACCCCATGTTTCCATCACGGACCGTTCTCAAGTTATAAACATTTAAACATAGGCATATTATAAATCCCATTCTAGTTTTTGTCTCTCAAAATACATCTTATTGAACCCCATGAAAAAATAAAATACTGAACGCAGGACTAAGCATGCAAATCAATACTTTGTAGAACACCAGATCAGCATATCTAAGAACTGCTGCAGACAAGTTCATATGCAAGAAATGGGTAACAGAAAATGATGAACAGATAGCTAACAGTTTGTCTAATTTTACTTAAGACGTATCTTTTTTAATGGAACGCACATTCTTTCGAACGAATTTGCTGAGTAGTTTTTTTCCACATTTAATTGTTTTGATTTTAATCATAGGATAAAGGTAGACTTTAATTATATAAACTTACAAATGTTTCAAACGTGGAATCCAGTGTTATTTTATATTTGTCCTCTACAGTAGTTGGTGTAACTGTCCAAGTATATGTCACAGCTGTTCTTTGTAGGAATATATCTCGAACTGTTGTATAGGGTGTAGCAATTATTATAGCAGAGTAGGTAGAATGACCTTCAGCTTTGGCGTAAACAGTGTATTTGTCCTCGTGTATGTTTTCGAATAATACAGTCCCTATGAAAATATAAAAAGAAAAGAATTTTCACATATCACAAAAAATATACAACAATGAAAAGAAAATATAATAGAAAGTGCGAAAAATATAGTTGTTCTTTGATACAGTTTTTTTTTTTTTTTTGGATGAAAAAATATCAATTATAAACCAACATCTAGACATTATTAAATTGTATTATTTAGTTTGATCGTTACTTTATATGATAGTGATTAAACATTGCAACTAATGTAAAGTTAAAAATATAAGAATTAAATCCAGAATCGAATATAGTTCAATTAACGAAGGTAAGGTACAACAACAACTATTAAAACAAATTATATTAACATTTTACTTTCTTCAGTTGGAGGAATATGAAGCTCAAAATCGTCCAACTTTTATATTTTATGTACACTAGCCCAACATATATTACTAAGTACATACGTAAAGTCCTTAAGTGAACAAAAGATATCCAGAAACGACAATCACAGACACAAGTGTCGTGTGACGTCAGACCGCAGTTTATTTATAAAAGATTTACGTAGTAAACCCCTGTTACACAAACGAAAACTAAATGTCTCCTATTTACGCAAATCCCTCAGAGCGCAGTCTATATAGAAAACATGGAAACTGCCGACAAAGGCTTAAGGTGGCAAGTTTTTATCTCGAAATTGTAAAAGAACTATTTTAAGCAACTGAATCATTCATCAATCCATAGCTTATTCATTTCACACCACGAATAAGTATAAAAAAATGATATTTTTAACGATTTCAAGCTCTTTAAAGCCGTTTAGTCAGAGCAATAAACTAATCAAAGATATCAGGATCGAAATTTTGGACGTCAGACGCGTTTTCGTCTACCATAATCTCATCAGTGACGCTCGAATCAAAAACTTAAAAAGTCCAAATAAAGTAAAAAGTTGAAGAGCATTGAGGACGAAAAATTCCTAAAAGTTTAGACAAATACAGCTAAGGTAATCGATTCCATGGGTAGGACTGAAGGCAGATGTGTTTTAAATGTTAAGATGAAGTGACTAAACGTGATGATAACCTACCTTGACTTTAACCTTATACTAGAGAGAAGAACGAGCGGATGTATGCATAGGTAGGACATAATAACATTAACGGTACCAATTGTATACACTAGATGCGCATTTCGACAAGTAATGTCTCTTCAGTGATGCTAGAGGCCATAATATTTTATATCCAAATCTTAATACAAACGTCAAAAAGCTGATCACTATCCAAGGACCTAAAGTATAGCCAGATCTGGACAAGGAATCTAAGCTTTGCATGAGGAACACATATTCCTTAATTAAAAATGATTTCAAACAAAATCCGTATTTTCATGCCAGTACCGATATGAATTACCAGCACAAATATCACCCCAGTAGTAGTAATAACGTTATCAGTGTTATTGCTTCAGCTGTGTATTTCGACAATTAATGTCTTTTCAGTAATGCTCGTGACCAAAATATTAAAAATCCTTATCTTAAAATAAACATGAAAGAGCTGACAAAATCAAAAAGGACTTTTAAGCATAGCAAAATCCGGACATGGAATTAAAAGTGATTTCAAATACTTATATAAAGGCAAATTCTAATCAAACAATACCCGTATTTTCATGCCATAACAATTGTGGAAAATAGTTAAAGGCAATTTGAAACGTTCAAAAATCACAGTGATTTATGGTACAGTTTGAGAGCATCCGTCGTGTGTCATAAACTGCCTTGCTGATTTGCCCGAGGAAAGGTTGGTATAAATTAGTATTACGCATTTTAGTAAGAGTCAAAAATAGTTCCTTAGTCACCTATGCCTCAGTAAACATAAGATAAAAAAATGCAAATAGAATCGAATTAAGTTAAATACCTGTGTCATTGTATGTGAATCTTGTTTCTGAGTATCCTCGTCTTGGATTTACCAATTTGATTTCTGCACCAGTAACTAATGGTGCTCCAGTCGCAAAATAAGTATATTCGTCTTTGATTACAAAAGTTAAATTGAGTTGCCGCTCTGAATTAATTGTAAAAGCGTATGGTAATATAAACGTAGTAAGATTAGTATTTACAGCTATAGTTCCCCTTAGTTCCCCTAATGGAGTGTTCGATTCAACAGTGATGGCGAGAGACATGATTGCCTCACTTAGAGGTGGAATAGTCAAACTACCTCGCATTTGTTCGTTCGCATAATTCACATCTTCTCCTTTCGTGAATAATGACATCAAACTTATTTTGGATTCATTTGGTATATGAATATTCACATCTCTTGCTGGAATCTCACCGATATTTCTGATTGTAACATCAAAAATGTTTTGAGTACCACGAATAATGTTTTCTCTCACAGCAAATGGTTCAAAAAAAGTAAGGGCTTTTTGATCGATAAATCTATATTGATTTGAAGTCTTGCATATGTTCTTTCAATGGTTGAAAACACGATATAAAAGGTTTCAGACATTGGTTTTACATCTTTTATTTGGAAACCAAAACTTATCACTCCATCTGTAAGAAGTTCCGCCATAAAGAATGTGTCTTTCGTTTTATCTTCAGATTTAAAAACATGAACGTTTTCGATACCATATACCTGTAATGATGATAAGCTATTGTAAATTTGATATTATTTAAGTAAAAATGTAAACACATAGTTAGTATGTTTTTCATACATCTACATGACTTGTATGAACGAAACAACACCTAATAAGATAAACAGATATAATTTGTCGCAGAATGAATTTAACAATCAATTGTCGATTAAACGTAAACACATGTAACACAACGCATCCATTTTTTAAATCAACAAATGTAAGCATTACCAAAGACAAAAGGAATGGAATCACTAACTCATAATTTTGGCCGGAAATATCGGATATTTTTTAACTGCGAAAATGTTGTGATAATTATATGAATTATAGGAAAACAACTGTCATATTTCTGACTTGGTACAGGCATTTCCTTATGTAGAAAATGGTGGATTTAACCTGGTTTTATAGCCAATTTAACCTCTCACTTGTATGAAAGTTGCATAGAATTCCATCATATTGACAACAATGTGTGAGCAAAATAAACAGACATAATGAGTAAAAAAGTCCAAAATAGTGGTGTATTTGTGACCTCATAAACGTATGTACTCATTTAAAGCTGTTTTTTGGCATAATTTGGCAAAAATTGTATCACAGTTTTCTGAATTAATAGCAATGGCACCACCCATCACAATCAAATATATCTTAGCTGAAATATTCTGTATCTACCATATTCTCAACCCTCAACCATAATGTCAATGGGCGAATGTAGGCACCTCACATGAAATTATGAAATAAGGTCGAAAACGGTAACAATTTTCTGGAATATTTGAGTAAAATGATCTATTCCCATTTCTGGTTTATATATTTATAATATATGCAGCAAATATACAAATTGTCTTGTTTTAGCAATTATTTAGAATTTTGTTATTTGATCTATCAGTACCACAATAATACATTAAATTTACCTTTGATGATATGTTACCAATTGGGTAACCTCCTACATTTTTTAGAGTTGATACGTTTGCAAATACAGCTTGACTATCGTCTATGTAACCTTTCAAACTAACGAAAGTTGGCTCGCAACGCATGCCTAGGACTACCCATGTTAATGTGTTTCCTGTACTTTGCTCCAAACCTGGATGATATGCTTTCTTTAAAAAAGAGTATGGAAAACATTTATTAAATATACACATTGTAGAATATTAGCATTATTAAGCTATTATTGTTCTGTTCACACATTGTTGTCAATATAATGGAATTTTATGCGACTGTCATACAAGTGAGAGGTTTAGCTAGCTTTAAAACCAGGTTTAATCCACCATAAGAAAATGCATGTACCAAGTCAGGAATATGACAGTTGTTTTCTATTCGTATGATGTGTTTGAGCTTTTGATTTTGACTTTCCGTTTTGAATTTTCCTTGGAGTTCGGTATTTTTGTTGTTTTACTTTTTTCTTATACGATAGGAAGATCATAAGAGTAGTAAGATATACACTCTCAAACTGTTTTTATATCAATATATATAAATGATTGATTGAGTTATTGTTATTTGCGCAACTTCCATTGGGAAATAGTTCATGAAAGTTTGAAAAGAGAAAAAAAAATATAAAAGGTAGGTTCTGCAAGGTTTGTGAGACCCGAATGAACAGATAAACGTGAGACTGCCACTGGAAAATTAGGTTATGTTGGATTGGGACAAACATTTTGCCTACCACCAGGACATTTACGGACCATTATAGAGTTATTGCAAGCTATTTGAACGTGCAGAGTGTGTGAAACTCTTTTTGCACGAGGCATCAGATTCCCCCCTTCCCGATCGGAATCATTCAGCCAAACGGACGATTCAGTTCAACAAGGGTTTTACTGCAGGAACGGGAGAATTCCAGGAATGATCATATTCAAATCATTAATATATAGCTTTCTTATTTGTTTTAGAGCGCTGTGTACATATCTTTTTAAATCGTTTGTTGTTGCATGACGCCAATATCTCATTTTTGGTCCGACTTTTAATCCTATGAAAAAAATACTGGTCATATTTTTGGTACGCAATAATAATTGATATACTGACTGGTTTCTGTCTCATTTGAAATGATTTATTTATCCACATTCCTTTCTATTTTATCTCTAAAATTCATTTATTCATCCCGCAAAGTTTATAAGTAGCTTTTTCACTGCAGTGTATTCATTAACCTCCGATGATCCCCTGCTTTCGGGTATTTCGTTTGTGTAACTAAACCACGAAGTCAACTTTCCAACCCAGTTCTAATTTGTTTTAAGCTTTTATAAAGACTTCAAATATCCACGAAAATACAACTGACACCTCAATCCACAAAAAATAAATGAATTCACAGTATAAACATATTTAATGGGTATGCTTCGAAAGAGATACTTGTATGAAAAATCAATAAACAACAAGCAAGATTGTTCGTTTCTTATACCTTACTGTTTGGTCATATGAGTTATTGAATGATATCATTCATTGAATGAAATATTGCAAAACTAAGCCTTGCTGCACATAGAACCAAGGTACACGAAAAGTATAATCTTATTAATACTAAAACTTATATTTTGCGAATGCATATGAACTTAAGAAAACTGACTTTTCCATTATTTTATAAAAATGCACCTGATAGTGAGCAACTTGCCCTATTATAATCCAGTATCAAATATCAAAATGAGTATAATAATGATTCAATGTAGGGCGTACCACAGTGAATGTTCCTGCGTCATCTGGCCTTGGATAGTACGTTGTTATGAATGATGTTGGGTCATAATTTTCATTTGATGGTGATAAGACCCTCTCTGTACCCGTTAAAGTACTTTTAATTCTGAAAAAATAGCAACATTCAAACCATATACCATATGTTAATTCAAATAATTCTCAAGTGTTTATCTATGTGCAAACAAAATCTCATCAAATATATCACGCTTATAATTTGGTACTTCAGAAGCACGTTTCGTATACACAAGGCACATCAGTGGCGCTCGAACTATACCGTTGGAAAGACAAGTCAAATTCAAAGTTGTTAAGTATTAAAACCGAAAAGTCCGAAAATATTTGCCCCCCCCCATATATATGCTTGGGTTAAAAAACCTTAGGGTTTCGAATAATTCAAATATTTTATAAACAGTTTGTTCAGAAAATGAACATATCAATGATATTTCATGTCAACACAAAAGTGCTGACTATTAAGCCGACAGCAGTGGCATCAAACCAGTAGTTGTAAAAACTCATCTTTTATGGCTTATGATTTAGTACGCCACACATACGTGTCGTCTACATAACATCCATGAGTGGCGCCCGGACAATTAAATTGGTAGGATGTACGCAAAATACATTTATAATCTTTTATTTCGGTTTAATGACTTTTTGAATACAAATTTCTTTTATGGCAACAGTGCTTTTTAACTAGTTTTGGTTTTTCCCCTTTTCAATTGTTGTCGCTGTTAACATGGTTTACAACAGACTTTTCAAAAATTCACCTAAATAGATTAAACATATATTAATAACCTAAGGTTCAAACTCCTTCAGGTAAACTTCTTTAATTTGGCTAATCGTTTAGGCCATTTTTTGGTCATGTAGCTCCTTACGTTTATACGTATTTATACATCATTGCCTTTTAAATGTTTTGATTTGAGTGTTCCTCAAGACGGTAAATCCAGAAAATCGTAATGGACAGACAAAATTTAAAAAGTGTTATTCGTAGTTCTATAACCACTGGGTCAATACCGCTGCTGGTGGACTGTTAGTATGAGCTGACATGATTTAAAACATACTTTTCAGAACTCCCCTTTGATGAATTAAGAAATTATTAATCGGCTTAAGTTCCACATCCCTCCAGCAAAACTCGTCTTGAATAAATTTGACTAATATTTTAGGTCGATTTTGAGGCATGTAGCTCCTATTTTTTTTATATCCCTGACTTTCATGTGGTTATGTTTGAGCGTTCTTCATAATAGGTAAATCAAGGAATGAGCTATGGACGCATGGAATGAACAAAGTGTTATTTATCATTATATTGATAAAAATGATTACTAAACATGATAAAATATACCAGGGTTTTTATGTATTAAGCATGTTAAGTCAGACACGCATTTCGTCTACATAAGACTGACATTTACAAAAGAAATGCAACTGCCTGTCAACAGAAAAAACAAATGAACAATACCCCCGGTTTTTCTGTGGGTTTCGTATTACTCAGTCTGTTGTGTTTTTGACTGTTGTTTGCATTTACATTGATTTTCGTTTTTTGCCATGGCGTTGCCAGTTTTTCATCATCTTATGAGTTTGAATATCCCTTTGATATTTTGAGCCTTTGATTTTGTTTAATATATTTTGATGCCAATAATAAGTTTACACTTTTGATTGAACTCACACAAGTTTGATTGGAACGAGCCTCGGTGCATTCAAATCACTGAATGCAACCTCTCCAACAATGTCTATTTGCTTTGGTTTAGATAAAATTCCATCTGGATCTAGGGATATCAGGTTAACAGAATACGAAATAGGTACATTTATCGTCCATTCAATACTATGTTCACCGACAATATTTGTTGCCGTTACAATGACTGAATAAGCTGACAGTCTTCCTATTACATTTGACCAAAACAGTCTTCCAGTTCGTTCATCTATTATCATATTTCCTGGATGATCTATGAGTGACCAAGTTACTGGTATACTCCCCTGGAAATGCAAATTATAGGAAAATGAAATTAATGACTTTACCTATCCTTACGGTTTGACATAAATGGGCAATATTCAACCATTGTTGACATACATCTGATACCTTTGGTATTATATAAATAAGAATGTTGACAATTGTGGCAAGTCTGCATGAATCAAAACCAGTAACAATGTAAGAATGCGCTCTCTTCACATTTATATACCGCATATATCGATAAATATATATGTTGCACCAATTGATGGTATTATTCATGTCATGTTAGGTTTAATTTTGTCCTGCTATCTTTCTTATGAATAAAACAAATACAACTTTATGTTATTTCCTCACACCTAAAAATACCCACTATTTCGTTACATTTTGGTGAAGACAATTTATTCATTTTGCCAATTAATCATGTAAATTTAGAGATAACGTTTTATTTTCTATTGCTTTATTCTACTTCAATTTGTCAGACTTTTTGTTCCAGAACCTCGATAGTAGTATGTCTTAATGATATTTTTCGTTACTTGGAAAATTAGGTGTTATCGGCAAATCTTTGTGTTTCTGTTAAATTTATACGCAACTTTCATTGACTCGGGACGATTTAAAGCTTCATGAAATCTCTATACTGTTGAAGACTGTATATCACCCTCTTGGTGTCCTTCGGTACTTGTTTTCGCAGGGTTGGTGTCTGATTGACATTCAGTCAACAATTCAATTAATACACAAGGTATACAGATATTGTGATTGAATTTGACAATAAAATATAGCCTGTTTTGGATGACTGAATATGAAACTACAATCCTCCAAAGACCAAATAACATAGGTATACAACTATAGCTTATTATACGTACTTCAACAAGGAGCAAAACCCATGCTGCAAAGTAAGCTATAATAAGTCTGAAATAATTCAATATAAGCAACAGTAGTTAACCAATGATCAAATTTCATAGTTCGATTTGATTTTGATTGTTTTTTGTTTTAACGCCACTTTTAAGAACCGCTTTTGGGCTATTTCGTGGCGGCCACTTTTTATTTGTGGAAGAAGCCGGAGTGCCCGGAGAAAACAACCGACCTTCGATAGGAAAACTGACAATCCTAGTCAATTAAGATTGGAGTCGGGTGCACCAGTACGAGCGGGGTTCAAACTCACAACCGCAGTGTTGACTGGCTAGTGCTTACAGTAGTAACTACTTAGACCACTCGGCCACCGAGGCCCCTGTTCATAGTTCGATAAAGAAAAGTAAAACTGAGGGGATACAAAAAGCCAACGACCAGATGTAATCTACTTAAGACTGCATACCCGTACTAACTGTAGTTGATAGTCGTACATAACCGATTCGTTTATAGTTTGTGGTGGAGGCTCAATAATTTCAGGTGCTAGTAGTTCAATTGTACAATTTTCACCTGTCCAGGGAAGGTTGCAAGAACAACCACCAAACAAACACTGACCACGTGGAGGCGATACATCTCGTCCACATGAGTTTGGTGGACACGTTGCAAAATATAAATATTTAACCTATAAAAAATAGAAGAATAACATAAGTCTGGCATATTTACATGACTTGAATATACCTATGCATATATATAAAATAAACACTGAATGATGCGAATGAATCAACTATCAAATAGATCATTTAAACTATGTCCGCATGTCTAAGTCTGCAATTAGCCTTACAACCTCAAACAATGAGTTACGACAGTCAGAACTATGTTTACATAAGTTTAGCTATGTACGACCTTCAGCAAGCAAATAAGTTCGTGATTCCATTTACATTCGGTCGTGCAAAACATGGATGTAGAAGTAAGCAGCTTTCCTCTTTGGTCAAAATATCAGTTATTCTTCTTCAACTATCGAAGAAAGAGAAGAAAAAGTAAGATTTGTAGGAATGAAGTGTTCAATATGTATGATATTTAATTCGAGGAAATATTGAGTAAAGATATCGGAAAGTAAGAAATAAAAACACATGTTACAAACAAGGTGTACGGAGTAACGGCTGTCGGATAAAATATACCATGAAAACTTGGGAAATGTAATATAAGCAACATTTTTAATCAGACAAAAATGCATCAGATATGTTTATGAAATTTGTGTGAAATAAAAAAAATATAAAATACATTGTAAAAGTGTAAATTTAATGCATGAATGATAACAGATTAAAATAAATTCTAAACCTAATTTATAATCTACACAGAGATACCTGATTGTTGCTGAACTCTATCCCATCCGATGAAATTTCAAGACTAACTGTTCCATCTGCATGTTTTGGAGCAGAACAGACCACGTGATTCGAGGCAACCCATACGCCGTTCACAACGTCTGTGTCAAATTTACATTTATAAGTATCTGTCTGTGGAAAATTGTGCCCCCAAACATGCACGTCATTGCCTCCTCTGTCAAGGCCCTGATTTGGTATAACGTTCAAAACCGTGAGCAAAGGTAGACAATCCGGACCATAGAATGTTTCACTGCAAATATCACAGAGACGTCCTGTCCACTGCGCTCCAATACAATCACAAGTCCCTGTATGAATAATTAAAGACTCATAGGAAAGTTCGTTTATCAAACATACATGACAATGTGCAAATGTCCCTTATACGTTTTTACAAGTACAAATAGCACCGATGGAATCTCGAATCATCATATTATTTACATTATTGAAGGAAAAAAACTTTTAAATGAAATGTGGTTGTAAACACAAGTTGTTTAATGTCCTTATAATTACCTTGCATGGTATTGTTCATCACATTGGACGGAAAAATGTAATTGAGTAAAATTACTGAAACCAATACCTGTATTTAGATTACACTCCCCATTCCGACAGTTTGGACAGGGATCACAGTTGGTGCCCCAATGCGATGGTATACACGCACTACAGTTTTCACCAGTGAATGAAGATGCACACGTACAAATATTAGGTCGAATACAGAAACCATGATCACTACAGTTGTTCACATTACTATAAAAATTTTATAAAAATACATTATTTAAGGGGTAACAGACACTAAGGGAGTTTACTCTTTAAAAATCAGCTGAACGTTTAAATCACATACTATTGTTAAAAAGAAATCAAGCTTCTCAATGATCAAAATTAGTCTTTGTAATAACTGCTATCTATCCAATGAAATATTACCTTTAAATTGTGTGATTCAAATTTATTGAAATCTTTAGATTTTGGTCAACAGATCAAAGTTAATATTTTGTCAAATATTTAAGAAATTAAACGAGCCAAATCTATTAAGTGTTTGGTATGCTCTTAAGCGTTTATTTAATATAAATGAATATGCGCATAGTCGGGATGTTAGACGTACCGTATAAGAATAGTGCTTTGTTCTCTGAAAGTAAGGTACTTTGTTCAAAATCCTTTGTGTGTCCTTATATTACATATTCCGATGTTCCCCTACCCAATATGATGTTTATGCCAAGTTAGTCTAACATTTGCCATCTTAGTCACTTTCGACTAATTTGTTAACTTATCGTGACATAAGTTGCTGTTTAATTTGTCCTGTTATGATTTTCAAAACAGAAATCCATAAAACATTTAAGCAGTGTATATAAATATTTTTTTTTTCTAATCGATGTTAGTCATTTCGAAACATAAAATATTGTGACTAGGTGAAAAAAAACAGACATCTTAACGCGTAAAGCTATACTTCTGGTACATTCCGTATTACGTCAAATTTGGTGTTCGGCATTCAGTTAGCAAATGGATTAAATTGAAGTATTGAAGTAATACACTAATAGTTTGAACTACATACACCGACCGATACGATTTTGTAGTGCAAGTAAAGACTTGTTGCATTTATCACCATTTGAAATTATTATTGAAGTGTAAGACCACACAATACCACTGCCACTCATCGCGTTTTTAAATGCCAAACTGAAAGGCAAAACATAAAAGATGCCCATTGGTTTATTTTGTAAGATGAAGAATATACCAACATTTGGCAAATAAATTATTTCTGTTTCAGTTAAAAATACCTGCACAATGCATTGATACACTGCTGTCCGCTCCACCCATGGTTACACTCGCATAAGTTCGGTCCAACACATAGTCCATTCCCGTAGCAACTATGAACCCCTGAACAGTCATATCCTAAGCACATTTTACCAGCATAACCTAAAAAGAGTCAAACATGTTTCTAATGAAAAACATATTAAAGGAGATTATCCCTAGCAAAAGAAACGGAAACAAACATTAACAATTAAAAAAACCTTTAAGAGTTAAATACGTTTTCATATTATTTTCTTCCTTTTTGGAGGCTTGCTATCATAAGATTTGTAATTCTAAATAGAGATCAAAATAACCAGTAAAAAAAGTAACAAGGGGCTGTCAGAGTGACAGCAAACGGGATTTTCCTGCAGAGGTCGAACCCTGAACAGTTGAGCAAGTATGGACACTACATGTAAGCTTAAAACTGCTCTGAATTTGGATTGTGGTTGAATATTTGACACAGCATAGGTTTGTGACACAAAATGAATGTGGTCAAAGAACTGAAATATTTGAAATTGGACATTTACCTATTATGGTCCAATATCCAAAATCTAAGTACATTGTAAGAATCAGCATATCAAAGAACTCCAAAAATTCAATTTATAATGAAATCAAACAAAATTTTAATTTATGACCCTTTGGACCACAATGTGGACCAATTTGATAAAGGAGCTCACAATCCAAAATCTCTCAATACATGGTAAGATTCAGCATTTCAAGGAACCACATCAATTCAATTTTTGTGTATCAAACAAAGTTTAATTTTGGACCCTGATTTGGACCAACTTGAAAACTGGGCCCAAAAATCTAATATTTAAATACAGGTTTAGATTCAGCATTTGAAAGAACCCTGTATATATTTAATTTAAGTTGAAATGAAACACAATTTAATTTTATCCATATATTTTCTGTGCAAAGAAAATAACTCAAACTGGATAAATAGATATGATTATAATCAATAAACCAGTGAAGTGATGACTAAGTTCTATGAAATTAGATATGATGTAATTTATCAAGTTATAATCAATAATATAATAACAACAACCAGTGATGACTAAGTTCTCTAAAATTAGATATGATTTAACACTCAAACATTGTTAAAATCAGCATATCAAAGAACCCAAGAATTCAATTGTTGATTAAACAAAAGTTTAATTTAGGACCCTTTGTACTTCGATGTGGTATTATCTAACTAAAAATGAAAATAAATACAGGTTTAGATTCAGCATTTCAAAGAACCCTACATATATTCAATTTATGTTGAAATCAAACACAGTTTAATTTTGGACCCCGATTTAAACAAACTTGAAAACTGGGCCAAAAATCAGAAATCTAAATATATGTTTATTAATAGACAATATAAGCTAAGTTTTGAAAGGAGTTCACCTAATCAAAACAATGTATATAGCATTCAGAAAATTGGTTTTTACAGAATAACAAACAATTTACAATTTACCAAAGAAAAGAAAAAAAATCAAAAATTTTGTTTATCATTTATACAATGTCTTTTAAAAATCGATAAAACTTATCTGTAATTATCTTCAAAATGTCTAATAATGAACAGTAAATTTCTTATATATTTACTATATTTACTCCTAAATAGCTTTTAATCATCAACACTTAAAAAACAGAAAATTTTCAAATAAATGTCACTCAAGATAAGACATTAACCATATGTTTAGTAAACTGATTACAGGACATATAAACAAGTGCAAATTATCTATAAAGGCTTAGCGTAATCAAACTTTATGTATATAATTAACAGTTTCTGTTCAAAGGAAAATAACTCAATCACAAAAAAATACCACTTATGGATATTAAAAAATGCAATAACTCACAAATGAGAAAAGCTAAAATCGTGAAAATTGAACTTGACTTTCATTTAGTCGCAAAAAAACAACATATCTAAATTTGAAAAAAAATTGTCAAAGGGTTTTCATTTTATTGAAGAGACACTGTTTGGCAGCCGGCCGTCCGCCTGCCCGCCCGCCGTACATCCCCAAATCAATAACCAATTTTTACTTCGAAAATCCGGTTAAAAATCACAGTTTGTGGATAACAGTCATTGTTGCCAGTTTTTCTTGTACAGGTATGATGATACTTAGATATTGAATCTTTTCAAATTTTGGGTTGACTGGAAAATTAAGTTTTGTAAAATCGTAAGATAATTCTTCCGATTGACAGATTGTCCTTGGTTTGAAGTTTGATAATCCATTTGTCCTAGATGTCCGATTACAAATATATGATTGTTAATGTTTCTATCTACTTACCAGAGAAACATCTACATTTATTTGGACTCACACATTCACCATTGGAGCTGCAGTTATTGACCCAAGAACAATCAATGTTTCTATCAGTCAAAATCGAAGTTATATTAACCAGTAACAAAGAATTATCACGATGAAAATCAAATATTCTTTCGTATGCTATATCGGCATCGGCATTTCCCCACCAGTTGTTAGAAGCATTTACAGACGAAGTTCCTAAAATGAGAAAAATACATGATTAGTTTAATACTGTATCGCTTATTTAGACTGCTAAACCAAATTCTCCAAAAAGCGCCAAAATCAAGTACTTTCGCGTAGCCAATTTGTTTCTTTGGAAACGTTTCTTATGACACAGTGTAAACAATGGTCAGTACTAAACAAATATGCAAATTGCAACTACATATAATGATTAAGGGTGACGTTCGGAGTTCTTTTCTCCAATATCCTTTCACTTGATGATCAAATGGAAATATGGTGCAAGTTTCGACAATGACTTTTTTTATGTTCCATAACAAATCAATAAATAGTTTTAATACCAGTTTCTGTGTTTTCTGTTATTGCTTGTAATTTACCAGATAACATGTGCTGTATTGATAAACGTCAAAGTAGGAAGTATGATAAGAAAACTCATTCGGCCTCTAAAATTTCAAAATTTTTAATTTTTTTTCAATCCATTACGTTAGTTTCATTGATAAATGAAAACAGTGAAATGAATTTGGCAATTCCGTGTAAAAATGTTAGTTGTGTAGTGGTTAGTTATAAACATGTTCAATTATTTCCCGCCAAATTTTCAATGGCTGCTTATATATCGAAAACAAGCACACGGACCCTTAATTTTTTTTCGGCTCTTTTAGTTTTTTTATATATATACTATCTGTTTGAATTATTTTACGCTAGTCATTTTGGGGCCCTTTATAGCTTGCTGTTCGGTGTGAGCCAAGGCTCCGTGATGAAGGCCGTACTTTGACCTATAATTGTTTACTTTTTACACATTGTGACTTGGAATGGAGAGTTGTCTCATTGGCACTCATACCACATCTTCTTATTTCTATCAATAAATAAGTTTTTTAAAAAGCTTGTTATTTTGAAACAGAGTAGCGAACATCCTTAAACCTTGACTTACTAATTCTATATCAATGAACACAACTTATTAATAACATACCTGTCTTCTTCACGTATAGGTCATAAGGTGACTTTGGATTATCAAATATGTTGTGGGAAAAATTGAAACAGTTTGAGTCTAATGTAACTGTTCCAACAGTAGCTTGTGTAGTCAGAAATTTGTTGTAGTAGAAAACACCTGGGAAGACTCCAGCATCATCACTTGAAACCAGACTGACAATGCAGTCACTAACCAAATCCCTAAATATATTTGTAGATATGTTGAACATTCTTCCTTTAATCTCTTTGTTTCCTTTTGCATATGCGTCAAGATAGCATTTTCCAAGACCTTCACAATTGCCATATTCAATTGTATTATCGTGAAAACTTAAGTTTGCGTTGTTCCATGTTTTCAGGTATATGAGACAAGTATTGTAGAAAGTATTGAAACCTATATCTACATGACCTATATATCGATAATTGTAATCATTTGACGGAAAATTGATCGACAATGCATTGTTTGTAATGTTAGTAAATATATTATACTTTATATTTACACTATTTATATCCCAGACATTCCCCATGGAATAATCGACACCGTTTGAACAGTTCGAAATCCGGCAACTATCAAGGGTCATGTTTCCTGCAGCCTGTGATGTTCTTCCGAAACGGACATAAGCTGCTGTTGAGCAGTTTGTAATATTGCTTGATTTTACAGTTAAATGACCATAATAAGTGTCCATCTTTATGCCAACAGACGCATTTTGAATATTAACATTGTAAACATTTATTTCTCCATTACCAAAAACAGAAATTCCTATCTCCTTACAGTTGCTTATACTGGTTCCTTCAAAATCATGAGTTGTAACGTCAGTATTTTCGGGTTTGATGCTCAAACATGACGCTCTGGAATTATTTATATGAGTATGTTTCATTTCAAATCCGTTAGTAAACGCTGTAAAACCTTGCATGGTGTTATTTATCTGGGCGTAGTTTATGGTGGAATATTCTGAAAATATATATATATGAGAATACTTATAGGAAATTAAAAAAGTGTATGATGTGTAGAGAAGCAGAGAAGATTAAATCAAGCCTGAATTCTGACACAAACAAAATATTTTTCTAAATATTATTTTGTCATTTCAGAGTGTTTCAAACATTTTAAAAATGACTGTAAACGCTAATCATATTCCGTTGATGTTCTTACTCATCCTTTTGAAAGAAAAGTTGACCCTCAGAAAGACAATTTTTTGGAAGCTAATAAAATTATTGGATCTTCCTTAGGTACAACGAAATTCCTCTAAAGCGCATTCTGATTGATCTAAACATGGTAAACGGTAGCACCTAGTCTTTCAAACCTCGGTATGGTTCAAACACGACTATTAGTAGTAGATTAAACAGTATACGTATCAATCATAACCAACGGAAGGATTACAATTATTCTAAATATTCTTCTATTTCTTCAGAAGCTATTTCTTTGTATTAAAGAAGTTTATTTGGAAGTTTCAAAACATTCCATGAAAGTTTAACAAAGTTAATAATGTATAAAATATGTAATTTTATACTATATGTAAATGTTAACTAAAAAACACCTTGTTAACTTATAAGTAAAATACGGGAAAATCAACAAAAACAACTGTTTTGTTTCATTCTGACATATCTCTGAATCATAAAAATCTTCTGCTACTGTTTCATAAAATGCTATGAATGGTTGATAAACTTATTAATGTCAAAAACACTAAACACCAGACTGTTAAATGCAAAACAACTCAGTCTTTTATCAATGAAATATGGAAACATAAAAAAAATCAAAATTTTGCTGCGGATATTTAGTTCATAAAGAAACTCTATCAAAGTGTCATAAAGGTTTGACGAAGTTGTTGATGTCTAAAAATTTTCAACCTTAGACTTTGTTATTGTCAACTCTACTCTATATATTATAAAGGTTCTGTCCATGTTGGCCAAAGTTAACCAAAAAATGAACCTTAATGTTAACGACATCGACGTAGCTGAATGCGCCGACACAATCAACCAAGGAATGTAGGAAAGCTATGTCTCGCTTCTACAACAAAATGTTGCAGGCTCGACAAAAATCATGAACATAATGAGTAACCTTGTAACTTCAGTTCGATAATTGTACACAGCTCAATTTCAATTTTCTCGATCGAAGCAATGTATCGTTTTCAGCTCCATTCCAAAATTATAAGAGCTTAATGACACATTAAGCTTTTCCCACATATCGATCGGTCAAAAGAGGTAAATGTCGTTTTTGGATACTTACGTTTGTAAGAAAAAGACCTATTTTATTTATATGATTCATTGAACTATGTGTTTCAATAAATACAGTGGAAACTATCACACTATGATCAAACTAAATTTCCTACTAGTCTATAATAACGGACAAAAGACTAGCAGAAATATATAATTTTAACTGCTCATCGTTTCCTTTCGGTGTTGTTATCTACAACAACCCTCCAACAATATTTAGACGCTCAAAATTCGAAGATCAAATATGATCCCCCTGGACACATTAACTTTCTCCAATATCTGGAATGAATATGGTTAAATTATCAGCAACAATCCTTATACATTTTGTTATTCAAATATTCAACTACATATATTTTGGTTCTTCTGACTTTTGTTCTTAATGGCAAAATGTTATTTTTCGAGACGGCAAACTGTGATATATCGGAAAAAGATGTAATTTTCGACTAATTTCTATTCGTTAGCTTGAAAACGAGTACATTGACCCCTTATTGTTAAAGGATGATATTTGGTTTGATTATGTATGAAGATTATTTGTACCAATTGTTTAAAAGAATCTCCGATGCATTTCTTTTAAATCAGATAAATATACAGCAAAATATGCCGGTTATTTTCTAAAATCATGAAACTTTGATAAAAATGAATTAGTTCCAAAGACTGGTTAGACAAATTTAGAGCATAATCATTTAAAGAAGATTTTATAAATGTGTTTACAAAAATCCGCATGTGTTTATCTTTTGAAAGAAAAAAAGTTATGTATGGCTATCCAAAGGATAGAAATGTCCAAGAAACCACAATTTTGAGTAAACGTCTAAAATTCCGACCCCATTTATCTCTAAAAGTAGCACATGAAAGTATATTTTTTATTACAAATTTGAAGTGACTAGGTGAAAATTAGCTTGTATGCAAATTCTCGTAAAAAAAATCTGTTGGATCAAAACTGTATCGTATGCCCTCAAAGCCGTAACGAAACTGAAATCATTCGCACATTTTTCCTCAATTTGTTTGCCCTATTCATAGAATTTTCCTACAAATTCATCGAACTCATATCTTGATATTATCATTTTTGTTATTTGTGAAGAGATTATGGAGAGATTGTTAGAAAATTACTGACAGTACTAGTATATGTTAGATTGCTTTTTCGCTATAGTTAAACATTTACAGTTGTAGAATGGTTGATATCTAGCAAGCATTCAACTCGAACCTATGTGGGACGCCTTTATTGAACTTATCTTGAGCTATTAGCGTTTGCTCCACTTTTCAAGGCTCGCTGTGATTATGAATGGCAACACAATCTATGCGTTTGGATTTGTCTTATACGTGAACAGATTTTGTTACATGGATAAATACACACATATCTTTTTGTTTTTCATCTTTCCTTTTGTAAGTGTCCACTTGGTCCTTTTTCTGAACTGTGGATTAACAATTGGTTCGATATACGCATTTTTGCAGATAGGCCACATATTTCAACGAACGAAATATTGTTTTCACTAAGAACCATTACGACAAGGATTAGGATATCATGAAATTTCAATCAAATTTTATAAATTTTATAACCAAAAAAAACCAGATGTAAAATTTCGTACTTGCAGCGATTGAATAAAGTGATATTTCACAAGTTTTTATTGAGCCTGCTCTCAGTAACCGCGTCGTGTATGATATAGTATTGCGTATTACTGTTTTGTTTGTACAAATTTACTATAATGCTTGAAAAATATTAAACCCTTATTTTAGAAATATGAAAAGAATGGAATTATCTTTACTATATTAAAAAAATAGTTGAATCCAGTCTATATATATGTCATTGTCAGTTTCTATCGACTAATGAGTTTGAACATACATTTTGTTCTATCCGCCTCTTTCTTAAATGAAAGTACTACAAAAAGAGGATAACAGGATTCACAAAAATACTGGAGAGTACAACCAACAAAACTCGACTCTACCGAAAAATAAACATTCAAACAAACACAAACAAAAACGCAGAACACATGGCCCAGATAGCCTGACTTGGTTAAGATACAACATTCTTCTTTTGAACGATTACTTACTATCGCTTGTAGATTTTATCACTATTCCATACCAAGGAACATTTTCGTTTACAGAGTCCATGACAGTTAGCCTTCTGCTACCGGTAGAAATTTTCAATACTCCTGAAAAATATTGAAGGAGAAAACCTTTTTATCTTTTTCAAATTATTTTCAATATTGTAGCTGCTCTTATTGCTTTGTATTAATTATAATATTATTAAGAGTAAATACCAGAACACATAACAATTGGTCCGATAACCACGGAGAAAAAAAATACGGATTAATAAACATACACTTTAACAAACAAATACATGAAACCTATTATAAAACAAGCTAGATTAAAGAATTTGAATTCAAATAACAACAAGATGTAATATCAGGGGCTCTGGAAAGGCTACCATAGCCTAATCAATATGTTCAATCATTTAAATAATTTTAAATTAAAGGTTTCAGTTTTTCAAATTTGTATTTGATTTGGTCTCATAGCTGTTTTGATTCGAGCGCCACTGATGAGTCTTATTTTGTCGAACCAAATTCAAAGCTTGGTTTATTTAAAAAGATTTGGAGACATATCTCATGGTTTCATTATACCTTTTTACTATTGCATACCTTGAATATATATTCCTCTGTTTTCTTTGAAACGGATGACGGCACCAGCTTCTAATGTCAAAACAGTACCTGGTCTAAAGTAAAACATTGACGTTATCCTAATTAATATCAATAATCGATTATCTTTAATCAGATATTAATCTCTCTATTTTGAAGCTACAATGACTTAAATCCTAGTATTGCTATGACTAAATATAAGTAGTATTGATTTTTACAGCATACTGCGTAAATGTGTGTGCATGAGTCTTACTTATTTTGAAATATTACGGTGAAACTCGTATTATATATAATCATAATAATATTTTAGGTAATATGACATAAGTGATGGAGCTACGTACTGTGAATAAAGTACCGAATCAGATGCAAAACATCAGTTTTTTTTATTAACATATACGAGAAAAAAATCTTAGTTTCATAAATTTTCATAAATTTGGAATATGAAAATTAAAATAACCTGCTTTCTTTTCATTTTATAAATAACTACTATTAAATGAGGCATTATTATTGTTTAAAAACAAACTGGTAACATAATAGCAAATACAGTTGCATAACTTATCAGATATTTAGAAACATTTAAAAATCAACTAAAGTAGGAAACATGGTCAGAACAACTTCTATATAATTTGTCAGTATTTTGAATATGTTATGAACGATCATAGATATTTATACTTGATTCTGAATATAAACCTTCATACAATTTGTTAAAAATTATGTGACAAATTAGCAAAAAGTGCGATGTGTTGTGGTAGAATGAACTGCAACTATATATATCAACACCATCTTATGTAATTTATCGGTCATTTGAAATTTCCTGTTGATTTTTGGCTTAATATATTTTAGATTGCGGACAAGCTCAATTGTTAGATTTGCTGATAAAATCAGAATCAAGAAATAAAATGTCTTCACAAAAGGTTTTTTGAAACGTTTGCTACAAATCACTTCAAAGTGTGTTTGTTGGTTTTTAAGAGAATGATGCACAACAAAGTAAAATATTAGAAAGACAGAAGAGATAGTATATGTTTTATATGTATTTAATATACAGTCAATAAAATACTAAGCACATTAAATATGCAAATGAAATAGTCTTCCCTTTTGATAATTGACCGATATTTGGTTTTATATGGAGGATTCGTATATCGAGTGATGCATGCATAACAGGAGAACTTTACCATGTAGACACTTATTCGATTTATGACGTGCTTACATTCATTCTTCCTCCTGACTCGACGTAAACATATATTCCAGACTCGGTAGTCCCTTCAATATCACATTCAGAAATAATAACATTTGCTTTAATATCAATACCGTATTCTTTATATAGTGGATTCGGATATCGAGTGATACCATATAGACACACCCGATCTCGTTCCTTTTTGAGTTGATACGATTTTGTTTCTTACCTTGATTTGTATCGTCTTATTCGATTTATATGATTTTAACATTGGTAACTTTACAATGTTTTATGTGGCTAAAAATTTATAAGTCATACCTGACAAACAAAGCTCTTGATATAATAATGGGACTACTCAGTTTTGGAATGGTAAAATTCTTAGTAACATCCCCTCCGAATGCTCCATGCACATCAAATTCGTCTTGTGTCAATGACACAACTTGATTAAAATTGTTATCGGTATAAAAAGGTATATAATGCATATAACTTCTATCCATATCTTTTTCAAATCCGCATACTAGATCCAAAATGTCCATTGCTGATTGTAGCCCCCAGTAATTGAAAGTAGCATTTATTTCAAATGACTCCGCGAATTTCGGTGCACTAACAACGCAAACATTTGGAAATAGGTTATGCAGATCATTATAATTAACTGTTATTTCATGGTAACTGTTAATGTTAATCAATGATTCAGTAGCCCAGTCGCCCGACATATCATTGTGCTGTACTGAAATTATCCCAACGGAATGTCTTACATTTCCTGTAATAAGTAAAGTGTTCTTTGCAATATTCCCTTCAAACTTGTTATTTTCAAATTTCACATCACCAACGTGCTCGAATTTAGACTCTACAAGAGCACCGTCTGAGTTCGAATTGTTAAGAAACAAGTTTCTGATAATTTTAACGTAAGCCATGTTTTCGTAAAAGGAATTGTAATTAATGAAAAGTGTCTTATTTCCGTCCATAAATGTATTGTTTTCAATATGAAGCATAAGGCCACCAATGCTATAGTAATGGAAGTAAATTTCAATTCCATCATTGATATTATTTTCAAAAACGCTGTTTAATATTCTAATGTGAAACTTAGAGTTGTCGTTCTTTCGCAGATACACATATGGTATTCTTTGAAACCAATATTTTCCAAAACGACGGAAAGAATGGTCAGAAATGATGCAAGAATCTACCACAAGTTCCTCCGTGAAATATCCTTTGATTGCATATTTTACATTTCGTGATATTTTTGACGTGCTTACATTTATTCTTCCTCCTGACTCTTGGTAAACATGTATCCCAGACTCGGCGTTCCCTTCAATATCACATTCAGAAATAATAACACTTGCATTAGCTTTTATATCAATACCGTATTCGTTGTTTTGACTAACAGTACATTTTAAAATCTGGAACAAAATTTCTGATGAAGGTATGTCCTCTGTTGCAATCTGAATTCCAGTTTTCCCATTATTTGAAGCGTTTAACTCAGAAATAGCCACTTCGGTTACATTGCTGTTAACATAAAAAGTAAATCCATTTGTTGCAGAGGACTGAGATGTTATATTGTGGATAAAAGTGTTCATACTCCATATTTGAATACCTGACATAGTGTTCGTCACAGCAAGATATTGCAAAGTTGAATTATTATTTCCTAGGGTGAAAAAAGACATCGCAATATAAATAAATTTATAAAAAGTCACTAAATGTCAATATGCATATTTCCTTTTTAAGGAACTCTGACTATGATATCGAATTTGAAAGTTACAAGTGAACATACATTTCAAAGCCATCATGATAAATCAATTGTCCAATGAACTCTATAAGATAAAGTACAAAAAAGGCGAAAGTTACCAAAGGGATATTCACACTCAAGTGTCTATAATCAAACTGACAATGCCATAGCAAAAAAAACGAGGGGGGGGGGGGGGGGGGTGGGGGGGGGGGGGGGGGGGGGGGCAAAAGATAAACAACAGTACACAAAACAGAACATAGAAATCTAAGAGTAATCAACACGAACCCCACCAAAACCGGGGGTGATCACAGGTGCTCCGTGACACCTGTAACTATATCTACAGAACGTGTAACATGGTTAAGTGATAACACAGTTTAAGGCTTAAAGATATATAACAAAGAAACTTATTTATAAGATAATCCGACATTGCAAGTCATGAGGCGACATCACCACATATAATTACACGTGAAATTATAGGCTTTGAATCTGTAAGAAACTTTTTTTATATAACATTCCAACATTGCAACGATTCCATTGCCAGTCTTAATTGATATAGACACATAAGGCTATGACTATATCACATCAACCCAAAGCTGCATAATAATGGTTAATAATTCAAATATCAGTTATCGTAAATCAATCATGTAAGTATTTTGAAATCAATCTTAGCTAGAAAAATATAAGAAAATATGCGATGCGATATAAACCAACTATTTAAAGGAAGCTGAAATTTAGAACTTATACATTAATATCAATGAGCATATTAGACATGGTAAGAAGGAAACATATTTGTATTTACCTCTGTGTGATTTAATATCCACCCCTCTCCATGGTTTGCCGATTACTTCCGGTTTCAACTGAACCAACTCATCTGGTGTTCCCAAAACAATAAAGGCTCCTAAATTGAAAAAAGTAAAGTGAACAAGGCGCTGGTATTTCATTTTTTTTTTTTTTTTTTTTTTTTTGCCCGTTTGTCATTATTCATGAGAGCCTTTAGACATATAAGAAGTATTTGACAATTTTATTTATCTATTTATGGAAATAAAAAGTTGCCGAATGTCAATTATACCAAGGTAAAATATATAATTATATCAAGGCTGCTCTTGATAAAAAAAAATAGACTCTGCATAGTCTTGCAGTTCAGCTGACAGCCATAAAATATTTTCGGTCGGTCTTATAATCGCATGGTCAAATAAAAAACAGTTTTATTAATTCTATATCAAAACGTACTTGACTGAATGTGATATGTAATAAATCGAACGTGAACTGTTTTCTTGGTTTTGAGTGTTTCTCGTCAAGAAAACTTACAGAAGCTTAAATGCGTTATATCTCCCTACTTTTGTTTAATGTTTTATGATGTGGCGCCAGTCTTTTTGTTGTTTTACGTTTTGCCCATTAAATTATCTTCCTTCTCATTATAATATACCTTGGACTGCATGTATTTTGACAACCTATGTCGTTTTCAAATTTGAATGTATCGGTAAATAAGTCACAAGCGATTGGTTCAATGAGAACGAAAGCAAATATAAAACTAAGTTCTACTGTGAAAAAATACATTTCAAAATGTAAAAAATACATTTCAAATGTAAAAATTACATTTCAAATGTAAAAATTACATTTCAAATTTAAAAATTACATTTCAAATGTAATATGTTTTTATCATTGTTGAAGACTGTACGGTGACCTACAGTTGATAACATCTACATCATTTTGGTCTCTACTGGTTAGTTGTCTCATAGGTAATCATCACATATCTTCTTATTTTATAAGGAACATTCAGTAACTAATTCCTTAATGGAAATTTTAATCTCAACTTTCTACAGGTATTGCATTTTATGAAATCAATATTAATCATCTATATCAAACCATTCACGAATACTCACCGTAGACCGTTATACTGAGATCTTCCTTAAAAAGCAGTACAACACCAGCTCCTAATGTTAAAACGGCATCTTCTTTTACCACAATATTAGAAACTACAATATATGGACTCCTTCCCTTGGTTAGGGTGAAGTTTTCACTTACAATTCCACCAATATCGCCATTAGAACTTAAAAATGTTGCCTCTTCGTTTTGAATGTCTGAATAATTTTTGGATCCTAGATATGGTCTGAAAGTTACTTTAAACAAAGTGTTATCATAGTTATAATCATATATTCTTTTTTCAATAACATTAACATCATTTGTACCCCAGTAGTTTTGGGACGCATTAACTACTCTTCCTGTGTAACTATTTGTGTCACTTTCGACTTTTAAATTGTATGCAGAATCTTTGTTTTCAAAGAAATTTTGATAGATATTAATATACGGGGATGTAAAAGATATCACGATATCTCGATTGTTCTCAAATATATTCTGGACCAAGTTGATGGTTGAATTACCAGAACGAGGCTGTTGCAGTGTCACAATTCCATCTGCTGTATTATTAGAGAATACATTTTGAGATATTGTTAAAGTATCAAAACCAAAATCTGCTATGGAATGCTTTATACATTCACCGTTTCCAACGAAATAATTGTTCTCTATCACTATTTCACTCAATTGACCATGTGTTTCGATTGCTGTCGAATCTATATTTTCAAATCTATTGTTAGTAAGGTTCAATCCAATAACAAAATCTTGTTTATTTTTCTGTTGATCGCAGAATGATACGAAAAAACCTTTATCACTTTTGTCGAATTTGTTCAGAAATCCTGCTAAATCTACTGAACTGGCTTTGCAAGTGAACAATGTTTTGCCACCATTTTCCACAGAAAACGACGAGGAAATTAGTTTACTCTGTATATGACTGGAACAAGTATCCATTTCAAAAAGGTTTTCGCTTGCTGTTGCAAATACTGAATTTTTAACGTTTAAATGAATATCAGTCAAATTTTCTGTGGATGCTGCCTCGCTCAAACTTAATAATTTTCCTGTTGAACTGTACAATTCACTATTATCAAAGTTGATATATAACGTTTCCGTTTTGTTTATTTCGACATTAACTGCAATGTTCGTTGTACTGATAATACTATCATTAAGACTTAATTCCAGATTTCCATGAAAATCTATTGCCGTGATAAATCCTTCCATCTGACCAACTGTGACGTTAATGACGTCAATTTTGGACGCACCGTTGTGGACATACAAGCCAATATCACCGTCTTTCATGTCTATGTTGACAAACTTGAATTCTAGAAAAAAAAACATTTTCAAATTAGTCAAGTTAGTGCTAGTTAAAATATTGTAGTGTGTGTGACAAAGTGTTTCAATGGAATATTGTTATAAATCAATCAAATTGAGTTTAATATATTTTGAAATTAAGGTGGTACATAAAACTATAGGGAGATTACTCTGTAAAATTCAGATGAACGTTTTAATCACGTTCTATTTTTAAGGAAATATTGATCTTCTCAATGATCAACTTTAGCCTTGGTCAAACTGCTATATATCCAATGATTTTTTTCCGATTGAGTTTTTGCTTCAAGTTTTTTTAAATTCTTATTTTTTTGTCATAGGGTCTTGATGAATATATTGTAAAAAAAAATTTGGAAAATTAAACGAGCCAAATTTATTTTGGACAAGGTGTTTGGTACCACCTTAAGTAGTACACAGGCACAATTTCCTACAGTGGCTTTCATTTAATGAATAACCGTACTGTAGTTGAAGCTAGGGTTGCCACCGTCATGTGGCGATTTGACGTTCGTCAATCATGTCAATTTAATATTATTATATCAATGCAAATTGGATCCAGTCAAACGGATATTTGTGACTGTTTAATCTCAATAAAGGGCAATAACAGTACTTTCAATTCTATTAGTATGCATAACAAAACAAAAATACATAAGAGCTTAAAAAATATATAAATTTCAATATAGAACAAAATTCCATGAAACCTCGTGAAAGATTTTTCACATAGCTGTCATGGCTAAACATAACATCATACAAATGAAAACTTATACTTCCTCGATTCACATTTGGGCAATATTACATCAAAACGTCGTTTTCTGGAATGAAATGCTAGTGACTAATCCAGGATTTTCATTGTAATTCATAAGAGGAAAAACGTTATTCAAGTACTGAATTCTGGCTGTCGCTGGTTAGTAACTTATTTAACTACTTATTAGTTTTCAAACCTTCGTTAAAAAGATGCATCCCGTTCCATTGATGCTGCACATTTTGTGCTTGTAAAATCGTTCGATTTCCGGTTTCACCTAGGCGAAGATTTCCTACAAAAATGAGAATTGAATACATTATTTCAAAAAACACTATCGTTAAAAATTGTGCTTCTGAATAAAGGCAACAGTAGTATACCGGTGTTCAAAAGTCATATATCGATTGAGAGAAAACAAATCAGGGTTACAAGCCAAAACCGAGGGAAACACATCAACTATAAGAGGAAAACAAAGGAACAACAGGAACATCGAACATGTCGAAGTGCAACAAAAGCAAACGCCAACTACATAGAAACAAACTTTTTGATAACAACTGCCATATTCCTGACTTGGTACAGGACATTTTAAGAAAAATGGTGGGTTGAACCTGGTTTAATGGCTAGCCAAATATTCCGATTTGTTTGACAATGTTAAAAAATATCGCTAAAATGACAACACTACGTGACAGAAATACAGCATAAAAACACACAAGAACATTCATAACAGAGAAACGCACAATCAAATAATATAATAGTCGACACTGAACATTTAATACTGTTGTGAACTAAATTATCATGTAACAAATCAGTTAGACTACATCTAGAAATTGACAATGAGGGTCGGTTGAAAACAAAACTTTACGACCAAAGAGATGATTTCAGCTTCCCAACTGTGAACTTTCTATTTCTATGCACCAACATTCCAGCAGCGCCTGCATAAGGAGTATATATCTCTCAGTTGTTATCCATTCGTTTGATGTGTATGAGCATTTGATTTGGGACTTTCCGTTTAATTTTCCTCGGAGTTCAGTAATTTTGTGATTTTACTTTTTGATACGATATTCCAGGGCTTGTATTTCCTATCAGGATTTACTTTATAGAGGATATCTGCTCATAAAGAAGCTATTAAACCAAGAATTCAAGTGGTGGAGTTGAAACTATCCTTGCGTTAATTTTACAGACGCCATCAAGAGTTGGTTAACCGTTATAGAATATCCGTTTCACCGATGATAGCGGATATGTTCCAATTGTTTAAACTACAATCCCGTCCCCTTTCCCCCGAATGTGACCTTTGTGTTTTGTGTACTGTTGTTTGTATATTTGTCTTTTTCTTTTTTGGCAATGGCGATATCAGTTTATTTCGATTTATGAGTTTGAAAGTCCCTTTGGTATTGTTTGCCTCTATTTAAGAGGTGATTCATATCACTGGTAGTCACTGGTTGTTATTGTCCTCCAGTATCATCTGACCAGCAGCCATTTCTTTAGTTTTAAGAAGATATTTAGATATACTTTCATCAAAACGTAAGAGATTTTAAAGTATACACTTTTTACTGTAGAGGAAATCACACAAAAATGTTGAAAAAGAAAATTATAATGTTAAAAATAGATACAAAGACGCTGAATTACGTTATCATTACAATTATCAATATGGCTAGCAACGTTCTTAAATATTCGCATAGATAAACTCAGATTGTAACAATAAAATATTTCAATGTTTTGCTATTTTCCAATTTACCATGATTTGTCAGTAAATGCAGTAAGCTTTTTTTTTTATATACAGATTATTGAATTTAATCAAAAGCTAATAAACGAATCCATTATATCAAATTGGATTAAAAAAAACACGAACAACAATCCTTTTTCATTTCTTACCTATCACAATGATGCCTCTATTGGCGGTGAAATTAAATGTTATACCAAATAAATGTACGTCTGCTGAATAATCAATGATGACTGTGCGATTGACAATGACAATATCCGACTCAAAAGTAGGCAGACTACTGGATGATTTTATGACTCCACCTATTACATATGCATTGAAATCTGTATCAAACGTAATCTGGAAATCATCAACTGTTGGAATATGTTGCGCAAACGTCATTGATGGATCAAGGAACACGTGATCTGTAAGAACCCTCGCTTTCGAAGAGTTGAGAAAAACATCACAAATCCACGCTTTCACTAACGATATATTGTCTGTTCCCCAGTAGTTGTAATCTGCATTGATAGACTTAATCTTGTTATACTTTTCACCGACTCTTATTATACAATAATTCACTGCATTGTTGATGAAACTGTTATTGTTAATCTGATGAGATAACCCGTCAATAAGGTTTATCAGGTTATTTACAGAACAATTCGAAATTATGTTCTCTACAAATTGCAATCTTGTATTAGAAATATAGATGACGGACATTGTTTCCCCATAGATATTTTCAAAGATGTTATTTCTCATACTGACCTGTACTGACGAATCTGAGCCAGAGTCTATTCTGAACCCACCGTGCAAATTGTAAAAGGTATTATCAACAATTTCAAACGTTCCAACTAGACGGTTAGCACCGATTGAC